CCAGCGACCACCACCGGGGGCAGGACCATGCAAAGGGTATAGCTCAGCTGGCCGGAGCTGAAAGCAGGGAGAAAGACATGGAGAACTCCCTTGCATACATTCACATTTTAATATAATATCCACCTTCAAACTGTTACTGGGAAGAGGCCCAAGCAGCCCCCGTGCACACACACGCGCACACACACACCCCGCCCCCCCGCGGCCAAGCTTGTTCCTTGGTTTTTGCCTCACTCGCAAAAGACGAACTCAAGTGACCTATAGTGGAAATGAGCGAGTTTATTTATGAAACACGTACAAGCACGAAGCTGCGGGCAGGCACCCGACTAGTCTGAATGCCCCATGTATAGAGAATATAAAGTTGTTAGTAAGTTTGTTGGTAAATTTGTTCTGTACACTTCAACCGAGGCTACCAGTGGGCACTCAGCTTATCTGAGTGCACCAACTGTTGGGGTTCAGGGACTATATACTTAAGTCAGCTTCTAGGTACCCCTCCTCTTCCCCCTTCTAAACCTTGAGAATAATGTACAGCTACAAAGCCTTTCTTTCTCAGCTAGTAAGGGTTCTTTGTCTTAATGAAATTGCTGAGGCTCCCTTTCCCAGCAGAGTCTCAAGAACTCCCTTCCTCCTGCACTATCTTTGCTTGTGCTGTTCAGAACGCCCGGCAATCTTACCAGACAGGGCTCAGGACGGCTGAGGCACCAGGCAAGATAGGTCTCCCTCCTCCTTGCCTGAGCTTATTAACTATCCCACCTAACAAAACCAATCGCCCTTCCTAGGTCAACTGCACTCCTCCTGGAATATAAATTCCTTGAGGGCAGCTGTATCTAAAACAGTAAATAGTCTCTCAACATATAATATTGTTGAGGGGGGAAAACAATGGATGAATGGGTAACGGATGTGTGGAATGAGAGCAATCGCCCTATAAAAAGAACTCTGAAAAATGGACACTTTTTAGGAAGTCTTTAATTTTTCGTCTCTGTGAGATCCCAGCTCCATCACCTGCCAGCCCCAGGTACTCACCAACTCTGTGCCTTGCTTCCTCCTCTCCTGTAAAATGGGACGAAGTTAGCAGCCACCTCACTAGTGACTGCTCTGCTAAAATGAGTTGATAATTTTAATGCTTACGAGGACCCAGCATGTGACAAGAACTCATGTTAGATGTCTTTAGCAGCACATGAAAGGCATGTTTGTCCTCAGTTGTTCAAAGCAGACGTGACAGGTGCAAGAGACCTGAACCCCTGCTCAGCTACTCAGCAGCCATGTGGACCCCCTTGGACAAGTTGTTCCACTTTTCTGCAAGTTGATTCTTCTGTTCATAGTATGAATCAAAATGTGTAAAGCCTCCATTAAAAATACAGGGAAACTATTACCTTTAGGTGACGGTAATAGACCAATACACTTGTATCACTTGATGTTCATTAGTCGTAAGGGACTTAAGCAACCTTTAAGCAAAAGGGCAGGCAATCAGGATCCACAGAACTGACAGGTGCCAGCGTGCCTTGCAGGCAGGGCGCTGGGGCAGACCACTTGGGCGCACCGCAGGTTTTCCATCAAGGAAGCCTGGTGGGTGGGCAGAAATGCTGGTGCATAGGCCCTAGGCAAGGTCAAGTGTGCTCACGGAGCGTTCCTAAGCCAATCCTGCCCGGTGCTACAGCAGTCCAAGCACGCTGAGCTGCTCAGCCACCTTCCTTCCCTTAGGCTGGAGCACAACCCAAGTTCCAGGGAGGGTCCCCTAGTTCCCCACTGTCCTCTCACCTGACACAGCTGGGTCCCCAAGCCCTCTGTGTGCTCTCTCTGCATTCCAGCCCAGGTGCCAGGGAGGAGAAAACAAGAAAGATTTAACTATGCCCAATTTTTATATATTTAAAATCTACATAATTGGGACTCAAGATGGGTTCGTTCCTGGGGCTAGCTTTGTCACCTTGGACAAACCTGAAAGACGTACAAAAATCCATGCATTTTCGGACAAATTGTGTATTTTGAGCTACATAATAAAACAGTTGCATCTGACCTTAACACACAGGAAAACTAGTTAGAAAATAGAAATGTTTTAAAAGATGAACACATTTCACCACCCTCCTCCGCTGATCAACTGAATAACAGTCTTGCCAAACATTTCCAAAATTAGCCCAAAAAAAGACACTTGAAGAAATTACCCATCTGAAAGAACTGGGGCAAATCATAAGTAATGAAAACATGGTCCATCCATGATAAATTATAGAATTGAAAGCTATTAATAAAACATTTAAACATTATCTTCCTTTTAGAGTTTCATGCATTTAGTCAAAGTGGGTATTTTTTATGTCCCAACCCACCATTTGTTAAAGAAATTACAGAAACTATAAAGCTGAAGGATACGCACTTTAAATAAGAATTCATACTCCAAGGACATAAGAATCTTTCAACTTTTATTTCCAGGATACATTCATCTGGAACCTTTTAGTTTCTTTACAATTTTCCCCCTAAGAGAAATGAATACAATAAAAATATAATCCAACTACCAGCAATGTTTTTAACCAGAAAAAAATCTAAAATCTCTGGTGTGATAATATAGTATTTTTTTAAAAATATAACTTCATACCAGAAATAAAGCCTGAATATTCTCTTTTTCTTTAAAAATAGAATTTTTCCTTCTTTTCTCTTCCATGTAAATCTTTTAATCATCATTTAGTTCTAAAGTCTACTTTTAAACTAGTAATTATAACACTATAGCACTGGTTTTTTTCCCCTACTTTGTATCCTGTTCTGTGAATCAACTAAAAATTGCAGATGTTTTAAAAAAAAAGGAGATGCAACTAGGTTAACAGCAAGATTCCTCAAGATACAATGATTAAAAAAAAAATTTAGCAAACTAAAACCTACTTCACAAGTTGCATTGTACGAAGCACTTTTGCAAACAGTAAAGCTCTAATGGAAACTTTTTTAAAAAATCTGTGTTGGACTAGAAAGGCTGCTGACTGGGATAGAATGTCAGGGACAGAAGGCTGTGAAATCTTGTTCTTTGTTGTGTAACTATTCAGATTTGGGGAGAGGGAGATTATAAATTGCACAGAGGGGAACGGGTACATGGATATCTCACAAAGACTGAATGTTTTGCAGGGATATATGAGTATTTCTCTTAACTGAGAATAAAGGCCAAGGAGCAAAGGAGTAGCCCAATACTTTACACCAGACTGAGAAGTCAGACCATCTGTCTTCAACTAGGAAAAAGAAATACAAGTTAGTGTTTACCCCACTTCTGAGCAGCTCTTCATGCAGAGCTCCATTCTTTAAAGTAAAATCCCCTTTAAAACAGTATTCCAAACGCTAACATATATGGTCTGGGAACGGCTTCCTTTCTTTAGGTTAGGAAGAGAATCAAAAAGCCTAATTATAAACACAGGTACATACAAACAGGCCTGAACCAGAGTGACACTCTGTTGCCTCTAAACCAACCGCATTATCCAAAACAACGTTTTAGGGTATTTTGTAGAATACTGAACACTAAGCAAAAGATTAAAAAGTTTGATAAAAAATAATCCCAGTGAAGGCTTCATTCTTGTTTGCTAGAATGCAAAACAGACATAGCAAAACTTCTTTCCATGAGCCATCGTAATGAAATTAGATAGGCCTACACAGACCCAGCAGCGAAGGCCCGCAGGACCCCGGCCGCCTGTGCCTCGACACAGGTGGCCGCAAGAAAGCATCCTCAACTACCTGAAGGATGAATGAACAGGTGAGAGGGAACAGGTCCCGGTGGCTACACGAAAAGGCTCTGCGGCCAGACGAGCCACCCGGCTTGTGGGAAGAGGCTGCCCCGAGGGGCTGGGGAGCCGCCTTTCCTAGAATTCCTGTGGCTCCCTGGGAACAGGCCTAGCTTGGCACAGGAAATGGGCTTAATGCCTTACTTCTCATTTGGCCCTCAGACGCACTTAGTCTACTTGCTCTCTTCTTTAGCGGATCTTTCCCCAAGAGAATATTCAGGCCAACTTTGTCTTTGTTTCTTCTGCATTAGTGAGAGTTACAAACTAGCAATTTGGAATAACCCTCTCACTGAGTATCTTATGTTAGTATATGATAGCTTGAGTAATAAGAATGTAGAACTTAAATGTCATTTACACAAGAGTCAAACAAGCCCATGTCATACTTTGATGACTCCGCATTAATAAAAATTAGTTTTGATATGTAAAAACTATTTTTTTGCCAAGGTTTTAACTATCGGACTTTAAACCAATTGCAATAGTCCAATGTAAAGTCATTATTATTGCAGTAACATGCCTTCATGTTTTCTACATACAACAAAGTAAGATTTTTTAAAAATATACATATATTTTGAAACCAATCCACTCCTTTTTACAATCATACCCTCAGTCCAACAGTTAAAATAGAAACCCAAACTGTCAATGAAAACAACAGTGGACCAAGTGACAGTATCATTTAAATGAAACAATAATGCAAGAAAAAGTCAGCATTAAAACTTAAAAAATAAGCATAAGCTGATGCACTGGAAAACTGCTCATATGCCCAGTATGTTCAGAAATGAACCTCACACAGAACAGATCCCACCGTGATATCAAACAACTTATTCCTTTCTCATTTTCTCATTCCATGAAGCATATCTCACTATTTTCACTGAGGTTTATACAGTGATTAGCTATCCTGACAGCAGAGATTAATATTAAATACACAGCCTATTCCAGAATTGGCATATGCTCCCAACAACTGTTTTCTGTACTCCCTGAAATAGAAAATAGTCCAATCTTTGGGAGCATGAAAATGAAAGGGCTTAAGTCTATTCACATACATTGTGCATCAAATGTTACTAAGTTAAGACAGTAAGGTGGAAAGAAAGAGAAGGGTACAGTAAATTTTCTTTAAACAATCCCATTATATTAGGCAGTATGATCAATAATGTACTTTAACCAGATTATAAAAAAAATTAATTACCAGAAACTGTAGCAATTTCTTGGAGAAACTAATAAAACATTAAGTATACATATTTATTTGTATATTTCTTTGAAGCATCTTTGGTACCAATTGTGTTCCTTCCACATCATCATAGGACTTTTCAAAGTAAATTTCAAAATTAATTTACTACTCAGCATATGAAAGATAAATTATGATACTATTCTTTTGGTTTTCCTATAAATGTACTTGAACCTGACTATTAACTTGCACTAATCATGCACTTAAACACAGTTCCTGTTTAACTCACGTACACATAAAATGAAACTAATACCAGAAAGAAATTAGACAGTAATGAGAATCAATGACAAAACATAACAATAACAACTGTTCTTAAGTAATTTATTTTTAAATTATAAGATTACAATGCTTTGATTATGCAAAATAGCATAATGGAAATTAAACCAAATCAATAAACCAAAAGAGAAAGAAAACTTGGTTTACTTGAATATCTGTACTTAAACTGTCATAAGTATCTGCTGTCCCAATCACATCTTATGTAGACATAAGTATGATCATTTCAAAGGTTTCACTTGTGGGTTTAATTTCTCATTTTCAACTTTTATGAACTGTAATATAATTTATTTCAAATCCTATTATACCTAGTGTTTGTACTGCAACAGCAGCAAGTCTCACATGTGCAGTCAAACGTGGAACTGGGACACTAAACAGCTTTTAGTGTTCAGCCGCAGACAAGCATCATACACTGATTCAGCACAGCAGAGTGCATCATATTAACGAGAGCGTGGAGTTTAGTACACTTATTGCAGGATTGGTATTTCTGTCCCTTCTGACTGAACCAGCTGAACTTCTGAGCTGACATATTACTGCTGTGGATAGTAAGACTGCTGTGGGGGCTGAGGGAAGGGGTATGAAGGCTGCTGGGGTCCTGGATACGGAGCCTGTCCGGGGCTCTGTTGATACAACGGTGGATATGGCATGTTATACTGGCCGTATGCATAAGGATTATAGCCCATGGGCATGGGCATTTGGCAATACCTGTTGGGAAGAAGAAAACAAAAGAATTGGGTTGGTAAATCAAATACTAAAAAAATGAAACATAACAATTACTCTAAAACCCAGTTTTTTCAAGAAAGCATTGTCTCCATTTCTCAGGCTAATAGAGAACATCGGAAAGAAAAAGCAGCTTTTTCAAGGTACCTGTTAGGGAAAAGTGTTCCTAATCCTGTTATTAACTGAAATAAAAGAACATCAAGTTCACTGTAATGCATATAAATTTACTATTTAAAAAAGTTCTAATAGTTGGAAGACATGGCCTTATTATGTAAAGTTTGAAGCACACTTAAAAAACCAGTCAAATGCCTTGATTTTTAAGATTAACAAATTATCACAAAGAAAGCTGACCTTTAAGAAAGTACATTCCATAATTATATAAATTTCTGCTCAATAGTTTATCAAAATGCCAAGATTTCAAAGTATAGGTTTATGAATAAGACCATATCAGTCTTGCTTATGCTAAGCTCAAAAAAGATACTTGATCACCTAAATAAACAAGATCAAGAAAATACATTTTGAATTCCAGATTTATTTAATATGAACCCATTATGAAAAAACTAAAAACATATATATGCTTAGGAAATGGCCACCCAACCACTCAAGTAAGTGACTAACATTTTTATTTGTGTACAAGCTGACAATGTAGCTTATTCATTCATGACACAACATCCATTCAGAGAAGCAACAATCCCATTTTTAAAAGGTTAACCAGAGCTAGAAACAGAGCCAGTTCACTGGGACGCACGGAGTCTCAGCCTTACCCGGGGTATCCTGGGTAGGTGGGGTAGGGGGGCCCCTGGGCCTGTGGAAGGGGGGCGGAACCAGGAGCCTGCGGAGGAGCTGGCGCAGTAGCTGCAGCCCCCACGGGAGCGGGAGCGGGAGCGGGAGCGGGAGCTGTCGCGGAAGGAGCACGACCAGCTGGAAGCACAGGAGGTGGAGGCCGGGCTGGGGGCTGGGGCTTAGTTGTCTGTAACAAAAAATCAGCACTGATTACAAAATGTTTCATGTTTCTCTCAAATTGCTATCAACTAAAATAAATGAGGGCATATGAGAAACTCTATAATCTAACCAGATACACTTTTAATTTCCATTCTTAAATGTTGGCTCATTACTCTAGAAATGTATCATATTTGAGGAATGATTCTGAGTCTGTGGATCCTCCGTACCCACTGCTCTTTTACTCATGCCTCCTACTTAATCACTGCTACTGCTCCCACCAAAGGTTAGACATCTGAGGTGGAAGGAAGGAGCAGGTCAGGTACAGCTTACTACTGTAATCTCATCCTCCCTGGTCCAAACATTTTATGAAAATTTTCAAACACCAGAAAACTTAAAAGAACAGTATAATGAACATGTAAGTTCTGATATTCTCCTACATAATCACAATACCATGTCATCCTATGAAAATTAACACATATTCCCAAATATCCTCAAGTATCTACTCCACATTCAAGTTTCCTTATTTATCAAAAACAAAAACAGAAACAAAAAAAAGCTCTTACAGGTATTTTCATGAACCAAGCTCCAATTAAGGTTCATGTATTGCTCTTGATTATGAATCTTTCCTCTTTTTTAATCTAAAACATTCCCTCTGCCTAACATTTTTCTATGAAACTGACTTTTAGAAAAAACCAAGCCAGGTGTCCCGCAAAATGTCCCAGTTCTAGATTTGTCCAATTGTTTCCTAGTGACACAATTTAACTTCTTGTTTTATCACTGTATTTGCTACAAACTGGAAGTTGATTCTAAAGACTTGATTAGATTCAAGTTAAAGTTGTTTGGGGGTTTTTTTTGGCAAGAATTCTTCACATTGCAAAACATCAGACTGGTCACCTGACAAACATGGTGATACCAGACTTCTCCAATGTAAAGTCTGTTTTATCCTCTACAGCAAGCAAGTTGTCACTAATATAAAACTTCCATTTTCAAAATGTCTGCTTACTGACCGCCATGGTTCTTGGTGCTGGTGTTGGGGGCGTGGGGGCATGCCCTCCTGCTGGCGAGGACTGATACGCAGGTGTCGGAATCGAAGGAGCACTCGGTTCTCTGGCAATGCTTTGCTGCAAGTCCCTTATTAAAGACAAAAGTGTTAGAAATCAACACAATATAAGAAAACCCAATACATAAACTATCAGGTAGTTTTCTTCATTCATGAAACACTGAAAACAATTATAGTATTTTAAAATAGGCTACATTTCTGATCTTGACTAGAACTAGCTTAAATCTTCTCTCTACTATTTAATAAAATGGAGTTAGTTCTTATTCTGCTTCTGAAGCCAAGGAAAAAGGTCAGTTTTTTCAGAGGTACAGTTATGGCTGGAGTAAAGACCATGTCAGACTGAGCAAGTGGTCCTAAAAGACTGCCCACTCTTAATAAGAGGTCATTCCCTAGTAGAGGAACTCCTAACTAATAACCTATCTAAAAGTAAGTAATCAGAAAATTACAACTGCTTACCTAGCTAATATTTTAATCCCTGTATTTTATCAGTGTTTACAGAAACCAAAACAGGTGAAAAAGCTAACCTACTCAAACCACTTTGTAAATTTCTTAACAAACACTTCCTAGAGATATTTTTTTTAATGTGGCACTGTGATATTTTATGTTAAAAAAAATACTTCGATATCTATTACTAAGGTAAATTCTTAAAAGACAGGATTGTTAGAAAGACCACTAAAATACAGTATTAAAAACCAGAAAAATATCTTTAAATCCCCTCTCACAACTGAGACCCATCCCAAAATCTCACTGAACAAAACAGATGTGCTGTAAGTGAAAATTACACACCAGGTATCTAAGATTTAGTGTGGGAGAGGGAAGGAGTAAAATTACCTCCTTCATAATTTCTACACTGATTATATTTTGAAATGATACTGCTTTGGATATACTGGGTTAAAAAAAATATATTACTAAACTCTATTTCACCTGTTTCTTTTAGCTTTTTAATGTGACTACCAGCAATATTAAATTGTGTGACTGCACAATATTTCACTGTACACATGTAGCTTTATTTTACCAGCTCTAGACATCTGATTTGTTTCTATTCATTTACTGTTGCCAGTAATATTGGACAGTTGTGTCTTAGAACATTCATGCCCACACTATTCACAGTATAATAGCCCAAAACTTAAAAGTACTCAAATACTTAATAACAGTACAGATAAACATGTAGTATATTCATTCATACAATGAAATACATACAGAAACATCATACAGATGAATATCACAAAAAGAATGTTGACTTTTGAAGGCAATCACAAAAAAGTACATGACTCCATTTATTTACAGTGCAAAAATAGGAGAAACTAGTGTATACTTTCACAGTCAAGATAGTGGTTGCCGTAGGGGAAGTGGGTAATGACTGGGTGGATTCATGAGCTATGCTTCTGGGGTGCTGACAAGTGCTCACTGCGTGGGTGTATTCAGTTTGTGAGAATTCAACAAGATATATATCTATATATATTTTTCTTGTGTTTCTATTTTACATTCAATAAAAATGTTTTAAAGAATTTAAGTCCTGAGCATTAACAGTGATTTTAACAAAATAAACTCTTAGATTTATATGACAACTACTGGGCCTACTTTTCTGCCATTCACCTCTCTCTCACTGAGCTGAAATCACTTGACAAGCTTTTGTCTGTCTCACTGATAAAAAATTTCAAGTATTTTTCCCAGTTTGTTACTTTTTTTTTTAATCTTCACCTGAGGACATTTTCATTTGCTTTTTGAGAGAGAAAGAGAGAAGAAGGGAAAGAGGAAGGGAGAAAAGAGAAACATCAATGCAAGAGAAGCATCGATCGGTTGCCTCTATATTAGCACCCAGGCCAGAACCAGGGTCCTATGTGCCCACGCCCAGACCAAGGGTGAACCTGCAACGTAGGCATGTGCCCCGACTGGGAATCAAACCTGTAACCTTTCAGCTACAGGACATCAATCCAACCACTGAGCCACATTGGCCAGGGCCGCAGTTTGTTACATTTTTGACTGCTTACCAGGTTATGAACTTAGCCCTTTTTTTAATGGCTTCTGGATTTTAAGTCAGAGCTAGGAAAAGACTTCCCATTTTAGCTTTATTAAGGAATGCTCCCATATTCTCTCTTAGACTTTACCCTTCATTTTACACACTTCAAGTCTGATCAACTTGAAATATGTTCATGTATAAAAGTAACTTTTGTTTTCTAAACGCCTAGGCAGTTGTCTCTAACTTAATCTGATTGGTTTAAGAACATTTTTACACTAAATTCACATATGCATTTGAACCTACTACTATTTTCTATTGTTTTGGGGCTGTCTAAACATGTACCCGTACCAAATGTGTTTTTAAGAGACAATATTACATATTTTAATATCTGATAGAATTAGTTTCTTCTTGTTGTTCTTTTTATTCAATTTTCTTGGCCAATCATCTTTGTTTTTCTACTTGAGCTTTGGGATCCATTTGTCTAGTTTCAAATGACAACCTATTGATTTTTTTTTAATCAAAATAATGTCAAATGTCTAAGTTTACTTAGAATGACATCTTCATGAATCTGAGTCATCCTATCCAAGAACACTATACGTCTTTCACCTTGCTGAATTCTTCTTACGTGTGCTCAAATAGTGCTTAAAAGGTTTCTTCATACAGATCTCATGTATTTTATCATTTTACTATTGTAAATAGGGCCTTTTCCTCCATTGTATTTTCTATATGTCTATTTATATGAAAGATTTTGGTTTCTACACATTTTTATGATCAACTATGTTTGGTAATAATTCTTTTATTTGCAGAGTTTTGGGGGTTGAATCTCTTGAGTTTGCAAACGGTACAATCATAAAATTTGTAAGTAGTGATAGTTTTACCTCCTCCCTTCCAATTTTTATATTTGTGATGTCTTTCTCTTATCTAAATGTGCTGGCTGGCACTGCCAATATATTATTAAATAATAGTGTTGGTGAGCATCTATTGTCTTTTCCTGACTTTATGGGGAATATTTACAGTTTTTCTCCATTAATCATGATGCTGAGTTTCGTGCAGGTAAGATAGGTAGGTAGGCAGACTGACAGACAGACACATGCATATAGTTTTTTCATGTGAAGGAAGTATTCATCTACTCCTGTTTCACTGAGTACCAGAATAGTTATTTTCTCAAATGCTTTTCCTTCATCTATGAAGAGACTCTTTTTCTCTTTAGACTGAGAAATAATGAACTCATGCACTACTGGAATAACTTCCCCCCTTTCCCCTTTGGTAATGGTTCTTTTTTAACATACTGCTAACTATCAATGGTAAGTATTTAAGACTTGTATTCACAAATGAAACTGGCCTGAGGACTGTGTTCCGTTTTAATCTTTGTTGGCTTTTCTTAACAATAAAAGTAATCTGCAGGGAGATTTTTTTTTAAACCTCTGGAATCCATTAAAAAGCATTCTAATTATTTGCTTTTTAAAGGTTAGCTAGAAATATTCAATAAAATCAAGTGGCCCTGCTCTTTCTTAGGAGTGGAGGGAGATAGCTTCTTGACATCTACTTCCATCTCTTCCACGGACAGCTGTGAATAAGGGACAGAGGGTGAATAAATGTGTGGCCGGCTGAGAGCTCAAGGCTGGTTCATGAGTACAGCCACTCTGAGTTCTGCATGCTCTTTACTAAAGAACATGGGACTCTGCACACACCCGAAGGACAGTCTGGCTCATGTCTGCCTTCCTATAGTCCCTGTAACAATCACTCCACTTTCTCCACTGCCGCCAGCCTGAACTTTTCTAGCTTTTTACAAACTGACCTGCAGTCTTCCCTGACTACATAAAGGGTCCTGCCATTATTTTAAGGCTAATAATTTATATGCCTTGCTGTTGGCTGGCAGTTACTGTTAATTTTTTCCAACCAAATGATACATCCTTCAACAAGCTTGTACTTATTTTAGGAACAGGTTCTTGAGTGTTATCATTAAATATTTGTTTTATTCACTCTTTTGGTTTTTCTTCTACCAGAGAAACTCAATCCTGTATATACCGGATTTTCTTTACCCATCTTTAATTTTTTAAATCCTATCTTTACTTTGGTTTCATTTTCGTTTTTCTCATTTCTACTCTCCTGTGTTTTCTTCACTGCCTATATTCTCCTTTTGTGCTCCTTCCCATTTCATTTTAGATGTGTGATGGTTTTGTTCTTCTTTCATGAACTCTGATACCACATGTTATCACCTCCTGTTTACTCAGCATCTTGAGTTCTGGCATTTCTGCTTTTTGGTGCTCCTAGAAAGACTGCTTCCTAACCCTTTAAAAAAAAAATGTCATAGTGAAATCTAAGCTCAGAATATTCATCTGTCCTGTGACAATATTATTCTGGTGAATGTTCTTCATCTATTAAGTTTTGTTATATATTTTCCATTTTTTTCTCCTTATAAATATAGACTCTTCATATCAACTCCCTACTGATTACTCAGCACAGAATGAGTCCTACGCTACCAGCCCAGCTTTCTCAGTAGTCTCCTTCAGAAAGCAATTTCACTGATATTTTTTGTGCTATTCACCCTGTCTCCCCATGTTCTGTACCTCTAGTTTATTTAAGGAACCTATTTGCCACTACAAGGTAAACTGCTAATGCTTCCTGTCATTTCCTGAGATCTGCCACGCTGAGCCGTTTTATTATCAGGTGACATCACTGTATTTCTTACCTCTGGAGTTACTGATCCCTTTTATCCTTTTGTGCCCAGATCATGTAGCTGCTTACTTACTGTTTTGTAAAATACCCAAGAAAAAAGGAAATTGCTATCTCACACTGCCAAGTTTTACCCCAAAAGTCTCCACAAGGCTTTTTTGGTTTTTGTTTTTTTTAAGAAAAGTACTTAAGTACAATTTGATACAGAAAACAAACTTACTTTAAGAGTTCATCTCTTTCTGTCTTCCGTGCAAATACTATATCACTGCATTTGTTCTGGAACCTGACCAGGATTTCAGTCAGTTCATTGTAAAACTATAAGCAAAGAACAAATATAACTAACAAACCAGAACAATTTTTTAATACAAGGAGATACACAATCTTAAACATCATTTGTCAATAATAGTTAAAAATGAAAAACTAAAATTGTCTGCATGAGACATAGTCATACTACTTAATATTAAAAAAGAGCTAAGGCTCCTAAAGAAAATAAAAAATAGTAAGATCACTTTTAGAGAACACTGGTACCACAGCCTGATCATGAACATTTTCCCCGTTCCCAGAGAAAAGCCAGCTGTTTAATAAAGACGCTGGGCCCATTTCCCTGGAAGGACCAGATCTGCACAGTCACTTCAGAAATGCAGGCATCGTCTCAGAAGCCCTTTGGAAGAATTTTCAAAGGGTCTCTGGAGAGTTTTCTCAGCTTATCTAGTCCAATAAAGCACTTTAAATGGAATTAAAATGATATTTCACTATACTCTCTGTTTTGAAAGGCTCTGTAGCACTTCTACCCTCTCTTCAGATGTCTTTATATCATCTCCGTTATATTTACATCAAGGTAACTTCATTCAATGATCACTATGGAGCTGAAGTAACAAAGGAGTGATGTTTCTGAAAAATTTAAAAATCACTTGTTCCCTCATAAGCAAAGTAATTGATAAAAAACAAATATAAGCATTTCCCTAAACTTTTAAAAGAGTAAGCAATAAAATCCTTAAAACAGATTTACAAGTCTATCATCACCCACACCATTAGCACAGAATATAAAAGCTGTATCTATCCACTTTCCCCCACGAAGATCAGCTTTGTTTCTTCATAATTCATTCACTGGTCAACCCTCCATCCCCCAAAAAAGTGTGATTAGCTTTTACTATCTCTGGGCTAATTTCTGCTACACCAAGTGCCTAACTCCTTTCCTACCTGGTAAAATACACAATTCATCAAAGTTCCCATGAAATGTTGTCACCTTCTTTAAGCTCTTATAACAAAACTCTCAGAGGCTACCAAATGTGAGGCAAAAATAACCTGGTCCAACTGGAAAAAATAATTAACTTCCCAAACTACATATTCTCATCTATTCTGGATAGCTATGGTTTCTTTTATACGCCATACCTTTGTGCCCTCCTCCAAATTAGCTACAAGTTCAACAAAGTTGTCATATGCAGTAGCTAAATTCTTCAAAACTTCTTCCCTTAAGTTAGCTTCATTGTTAGATTGTTTCATTTTTGAAAATTCCTGGTGTGAGACCTTGTTTTTTTAAAAGAAAGACTTACGTTATTTGCATGCATTTATGAAATTAGCACAGCTCCTAACATTTTTATTGATACTTTCCCAACTATGAAAAATCATAAGATTACATGCAGGAATTACTAGAAATTTCCCTAATATTTCTTTTGGAGAAGCACTGTGCTTTAAATCTTTCCTTAAGTAAAAATATCACAAATTCATTGCATGTCAAAACAATCAATAATGATTACAGATTTCAATTAATATGTAACACTTGAAAGAAAGACAATCCTAAATGAACAAGGACTTAAACTAAGTTTATCCTTTCTTTTTTAAAAAAAAATACATCTTCTTAATGTATATAAACATCACCTGAATATTTTGAAGAAGTCCTTCCTGTTTCTTTAGAGATTCTTGGACTTTAGTCTTCAGACCTCCATAGATTCGATCCAGTTCAGTAACAGAAAGAGCTTCTTCGTTTATCACACCATCTTGAGCCAGAGCAGTCAAAAATTTGCTTGTCATGTCAAAATTCACTGATTTCAGGTCATTCTCTAGCCCCTCTCTTTCCTTTTTTACTTCATCAAGATTTGCCAACAAGGATTTTAATACATTTACAACCTTAAAAAAAAAAAAGCAGTTTAATTGCCAAAAAAATAAAAAACCAGAAGCCAACTTCAAGAAGGGATTTATATACAAAGGTTCATCCAGAGTCAGGAGGAGATGATTTTCCAGAAAGCCAAGTATAAACTGTACATCAGATTTATTTAGATACAGGCATTGTACCTTTTGGTGGACTCAGATTGTATCAGCAGCAGCCCTAACACTAGCAAGAGATACAATTTACTGAACATTAATTAGATACCAGGCACTGTTCTAAACACTTGATAAATAGAATTTAATGTCCCCCAGGTGAAGAAACTGAGTCTCAAAATGGTTATGTAACATGCCCAAGGTCTGCACAGATACTAAGGAGCAGAGGTGAAATTTGAGACCTAAGTCTGCCTCACTCCAAAAGCAATCTCCTATCCACTCTACATTATACTGCCTACCTCTATGGTATAGGAAAGTGAATTCTGACACATAAGTAACCCTATTCTGCCAACAGAAAACCTGAGAAATAGAGACATATGGAGACAGAAAGAGATACATATGGAAAGAGCACGCTAGATAGGGAAAGAGATAGAAAGATAAAATAAAAGCTGTTTACTTCATATACTGGGAGAGAAAGCAGATTCTTGTACATCTCTTCATATAATTAAGACCTTTATCCCTCTTATTCACCCAATCAGTCTCTGATGTAATTCCACATGATTCAAAAACACTTTATAGTGTTACAGTGTCCAAGGGCCCTCCAATGCCACTTATAAACTACCCTCTTTCACTCACATCTCTTCACACTTTTGCTGGGACCACCAGGGAGAACACCAATCCCAATTCCCTTATCTGCTTGCCCCAACGATGCTCATAAAAAGAAAGCTGGAGAAGAGTCAAAGGAAGAATGGGACACCCATGAACCCCCCACCAATATCCCTGTGTCTGTTCTTAACAGCAGCATTCCAAATCCAATGGATTTCCTCACAAACTGCACATTGATAGGAATTTCCATCTACTCTTCACTCTAGGCCTACTTAGCTCCTAGAAAGGACTGTGCAAAGTAACCTTCCTTTGTGAAGACCAAAGACCTGAGGAAAAGCCTAAAGTTTCTTCTAGGTGATTTTCCTTTTGGCCTGTTTACCAACCACATCTCCTAAGTGTCCTAATCTTAACATCTAGAGTCAATTAAAAAGAAAAAGAAAAGAAAAGAAAATGAGATACAGGCAGTAGAAAGAAATATTACTCTTTGAGGTCCAAGAAGCGTCACATCACAGACACGCTAAAAGGAAGGAAGGAAGAGAATGAATCACACTGGATCGACATGAAACTCCGTTTAAGAAATCTACTGGAATCTGATGTTAGACAATGGTGGATAAAAATCTTATTTCCAAGTAACTTCAAGGAAATGAGGGGGCAGGGGGGAAGAAAGGTACAAGTATATATATAACCTGCACTTTGATAAAAAGAAATCAGAATATAAAGATACACATGCATGTATTATGTATATTTGTATGCATGTATATTTTTTTTTTTTTTGCAAAAAGAAAAGCACTAAGGACCAACCAGAAATTAGTGAATATGATTACTTATACAAAGTGGATGGGAACAAGGTGGAACAAAAATGGATGAGATCTCTCTGAAGGCACTTTTTGTATCATCATTTTTTCACATTCAAAATTAAAATTAAATCAAAACTTGAATACAGAAACAAATGAACTAACAGTTCATCAAAGTGAAACATAATTACACAGTAAGATACTTTAACTCTGACTACATTCCCTTAGTAGACTTAACGGACTTAGTTACTGTGCAACCAAGGGCAGTTTACTACCTGCAAAACTCAATTTTCTCACTTGCAAAATGAGAATAATAATAGTACCTACCTCAGGACTGATGTGAAAACTGAAATAATCCATATAAAGTACACAATGTAATTTCCAACAGAGGGTTAGGTGTTCAATCATATTAGCCATTATTATTAACTAGTAGTTAGGTTTTATGATTTAACTATATTTTGGGTACACCGTGGACTAAAGAAGTTAGGCATCTAAGCATTCACACAGGGATAGAGGAAAAGATTAAGAATTAAAGTATCCTTTTTGCTGAATTATAACTACATCTGTAATTATGTGACACATTTTGTATTGGGGGAATGTAATTGTATATAAATTTTAAAGGGCTGCAACAGTATGATCTGTTAGCATATTTAAACTGGTAATGGAACCTCAACTATGACTTTGAAGACTTTACCCTACAAATTCTGTTTAGCTATTAGAAAAATAAGAAATGTCATTTTCATCTCTCTTTAAGTTATGTCAAACAAAAGCTAGAAAGAAAAAAAAATTGTTCTTGCTTTGGCAGCACATGTACTAAAAAGAAAAAAATAGCCAAGTTAAATAATACTGGGGGAAAAACAGGAATATGTAGAACTGGTTAAAAAATAGTCTTAAGTTGAGAGTTACGAACACTGTAACTTGTGTTTTATATTATAGAAACTGAGATCTTCTCAACAAATAGCTAAAATTGCATTGATAATATCCCCAAGTTAGCCAGGAAGTATTATGAGAAGACAGACATGGTTCACATCAATACAACTTCCTCTTTAGTGAAGAACTAACGGTACACAAGGCAGCAGAATGGGGTGGGGAGAGAACCCCATCAAGATTTTAAGAACCACAAATTCTAATACTAGCTGTGTTATGGAGAAAAGCTAACTTCCTAACTTTCATTTTAGTGAGTTTTCTAATCAGAATGGTAAGGAGGGACCAAAGAGCTATTTAATAAGTCCGATGCCACAATGCTATGATTCTAAGTCTCTGAAAGAAAAGATGCCATTTGAAACAACCAATTTATAATGAACTTTTAAACTATCACATAAAGATGGAGATTCAATGTATGATAAACATCCTCTTTTTTTAACTGTCAAAGTTACAAGTTTAACCATATTTCAGATACTAGCCTCATTTTAACAGAGTAAATAAAGTAGAAAAAATGAATTAGACTCCTTCCACAAATGAAAGGCCAGAATAGTAAGAAAAGGAAACCACTGCCTCAATTTCTTTTAAACCCCAGTTTAAGACTTAACATGTTAACAAGTTAAAGTATATAAATAATTAGAAGTATCCTGTGGTATTTATTTTTATGTTTTACAAACAACTCAATTAGCTTTCAACTACAATTACATTCCTTTACTACGTTAGGGTGTCAGTGGTTATCAATCAAATACTTTTTTTTTTTTCCTTTTTTTTTCTTTTTTTTTTCTTTTTTTTTTTCTTGGTGTCTGTAACCAAATTTATCCCTGAGGCCCAGCAGAGGCGATCAGGGCCCATGAGTCACAGTGTTTCTATGGCAGCCTTCTGGGCCAGTGCCTACCATGGGTGGGGCAGGCACTGAATTTGACATGGCTGCAGCAATCAAATACTTTTGAATCGTTACGTGTTGGGTACTGCTCTACATGCTAAAATAGAGTTCTTTCCTTCGTGGGAGGAAGAGAAGGGCAGAGAAGGAAAGAATTAAACAAATACACAATAATAGACTCATATGGTACACAATGATTCTATTACAAAAGGAGAAACAGAAGCCAAAGGCTTTACCTACTGTCTCCAACAACAGTAGGTAAAGTAAATGTTAAAGTCCTGAGGCATGAACAAGCTTAGCATGTTCAAAGGGGAACGGGGGAAAAAGCCAATCTGGTTGAAGTAGAGTAAATAAAAAAACAAAATGGAGAGAGATGAGGTCAAACAGAAAGGCAGGAATGAGATCACCTACAGTGTCTGAATTTCATCTTTCAGATCAGGGGCTAGCAAACTTCTCCTGTAAAGGACCAGACAGAAAGTATTTTTGGCTTTGTGAACCAATCTGTGCTGCTACTATTCAACCTGCCCTTGTAGTGTGAAAGCAGCCATAGACAAAATGACTGAAGAAGTATGGCTATGTCCCAACAAAAACTTATTTACAGACACTGAAACTGGAACTTCATGTAGTGATCATATGTCATTAAACACTATTCTTTTGACTTGTTTTCAACCATTTAAGAGTGTAAAAAGGGCCCTGGCTGGTGGGGCTCAGTGGACTGAGTGCCAGCCTGAGAACTACAGAGTCACCAGTTCAATGCCCGGTCGGGTCACATGCCTGGGTTGCAGGCCAGGGCCCCGGTGGCAGGCGTGAGAGAGGCAACCGCACACTGATGTTTCTCTCCCTCTTTCTCCCTCCCTTCGCCTCTAAAAATAAATAAAGAAAAATCTTTAAAAATAAAAAATAAAAATAAATAAATACAGTAGTCTACACAGTCCCCAGAGGGACTGAGCCCAGGTGCCCCAGCAGTAACTTACACATTAAGTCCCTTTTCTTGGTCTCCCTTCCCCCCAGGTCTCCCTTCCCCACTCTCTCCCCACCCATCCAGCAATCACGTCCTGAATCAACTACTTGCGCCCAAATCCTTGCCTTTAGAGAAACCCGGGCTAAGACAAAACTCCAGCCAGTCTGCCCCCAACTCCCAGACTCTGCAAATGTAAGAGCTGGCTGTCACCACAGTGCTGCGTACTCACTTTATTGCTTTGAACAAAACAATTCCTAAGTGTTAAATCACACACTGTTCTGAGTATCATGATAAAAGCTCTCGCTGTTCTGCTCTGTCTTGCCCCAGACGTGAATCGTCCCTTTGTCCAGCACATCTGCAGAGTGTATGCTATTCACTGGTTAGTCACTCAGTAGCAGGCTACAGAGGTATCAACGCCTTTGTTTAAATAACACTTATTCTACTTATTAATGGCTCCAAAGACAAGAGAAATGATGCTGGCAATTTGGACAGGCCAAAGAGAAGCCATAAAGTACTCCCTTTAAGTGAAAAGGTAGCATAGTACAGTAAGATATTTTGAGTAAGAGACCACATTCACGTAACTTCTATTATATTACAACTGTTGTCTTTTATTACTGTTGTTAATATATTACTCTACCTAATTTACAAATTAAACTTTATCACTGGCATGTATGTATGTATAAGAAAATATACAGTATATATAGGGTTCGGTAACGTTCCGTTTCAGGCATCACTAGCCCCCCTGGATAAGGAGGGACTACTTTGTCCCATCAGGTGCCCAACCCCGACCCCCCTGGAGAGATTCAGGTTCCGTACATACTCAGCTATGCAGTCTTCTCTTGGCTTAGGGGGCTGGTTTACACTGAACCTCCAGTAGCTTCTCTGGGCACATTTACTCACTCAATCCTTGGATCCGAGACAGGTTTGCTCTTTCTGTCTTTCCTCTCTTCTCATAATGTCCCAACTCCTTGAGAAGTCTCTGAAGAGAGGAGCTCCAAAATGCTGGGCTTTAAGTACAGTGTCACCTGTGTCTTCACAGCACACTTTCTATAGTCACTACTTAGGTTTCTACCCAGTACTACAGTTACCCTTGTCTATGTCTAATCTTCAACACTGGACTGTAATAAGGGTAAAGGCTCTGTATGATTCATCTGTGAATTTTTCAAAGTACCTAGCATAGTGCCCTACACAGATTAGATGTGTAAGTCTTGGTTGAGTAATTAATTACATGAAATGCTTCTGTGAAAGACAAATAAGAAACAATACTGAAAACTTTTGAGATCTACTATCCCAAGGAAGTTCATCTTTTTCAAGTTTTCAGTTGTATTTCTTGTCCTTTGGCTTACTGTCCTGTGTACTTCAGGACCTCTGCCTTACCTACTACATGACCTCCTCAGTCTCTAAATCATACTTGCACTTTCTCCTCTTTTAGGACTTTCCGAATCAGATGACCCACTATTCATTTTTTCCTTCCTGTCAACAGTGGAAAGGCCATGATGATGTTACCCATTTAACATGCACACCTTGTCAACTCTCCTTTCAGAGGTAGTCCCAGTGGAATATGGTGGAACGGTGGAAGGCAGTATAGAATAATGTAAGAAACAAAGAATTGGTGGTCAGAAGAGTCTCTAGGCAAACCCAGGCCTTCCATTTCAGGAAATTTTCTCCCTTTTATAAAACCTTAATTAAATACTGTGAACATACAGAGTATCTAGAATTCAGTACCCAATTCACAAGAGGCATTCAATAAATGGAAATTACTATTACAGGATAGTAATGATATTAGTATAATTATCTATTACTCAGTGTATATATCTTGCTACTTTAAATATAACAACCTCAATTAACATCTGTATTTTTAAAAAGATGTCAGTAAGAAAGAAATCAGGAATTTGCTGTTTGTAACAGCCCAAACATAGTTTTCATAAAGAGATGACCAGCCACATCAAAATGCATCTTCTTACCTCGCTGCCCTGCATGGTCTTTGCTGGGTTGGCAGAAGGGATGGCAGCATTCAGCTCAGGCTCCGGCTTACACAAAAGTGCAATGGTGTCACGGTGAGACTGATAACGTTCTTTCACTTGTCCATCTGCTTGCACAGCTTTGTCCAAAACTGCTCTGAAGTTGGCTCCCTCTGCGGGGAAAAAAAGAATGTTATCAGAGTACAACACTGGTTTAAACAGTAATATTTATAGGTTGATCGTACTTTTAGTTCTGAGCTCTTCCTACAGGCCTCAATTTTTTGTACTTAAATTTCAGCATTTTGGAGCTTTTCCCTTAAGAAGCATCTTACTTTTATCCCCCTTCGACAGGCCCCAAATCACTAGATAAGAGAAACTCACCTCTTGTCCATCTTTGCATTTTTGTTTTTGAAAAACCATTATAAAGCAAAAGCACAGTTATACCTTAAAATACATTTGTGGTCCCTGTTCCACCAAATAAAAGCTAATTGACATTAATCTTTCCCCACAACTCATGAATACAGAAACCATTCATCCCCTTGTTACAACTTATTAAAAAGTATCCTCTCTCAAAGGATCACTGGTTCAATTTGACTTAAAAAAACCAAAGTTTTCAAAATGATAATTTGGCTTCAAATTAACTGTTAAAAATCATCTCTTACCACCCAGGATTCAAGGGAAATGAAATTATAAAATCATATATATAATATGATCTCATTTATGTTTATAAAATATGCACAGGGCTGGAATAGGAAAAGAGTTATAGGATCATTTTAGTTTTCACTTTCACCCTTCTTAAGAATCTGAACTTCTTATAATAAACATGAATCACTTTTGTTATCGTTTTTTATCTTACACTGAACCAAGGAATAACACCTGGGTTTTCATAATAGCAACAGATGCCGTAAAAAGAGGATTACAATTGAGCCTAATTTAATCAAGCAAAAATATGGATCCAAATTGAGACCTTATTCATGTGAAAGTTATTTATGCGCATTTTTACCTGCTCTTAAAGGTTTATAGAGTTCATTGGATGCTGTCCTTTGCCAGCGTTCTTTGAATTTTGCTCTTAAATCATTGTCAGTTGCTTCTTCTTCATCCAACAATCTCAATGACTTAAAAAGGAAGCAAAGCAAGAATGAGGTATTTCTAGTGTAAAAAATTTTTAAGTTTTTTAAATTATCATACTCAAAGTACATTAGAATTAGTGAGATTAGTGAGAGGGGACTACTCTACTGATTAGAATATAAACTGGTACAACAATTTTTGTTGCAGGAATTCGTGTTATAATATATTTAACAAAAGTCTTGTTAAATTAAAGGCTAGGTGAGCCATTACCTTATTCAGTAAAATTAAAAAAGGAAGAATAACTAAGATATTATGTATATCCATATACCAAGGCAACTTTAAACAGATTGTTTTAAGATAAAAATAAACAAAAAGCCACAGAAGCTTCAAAGTTTATGGCTTGGACCTTAGAAGCCATAAACAAAACAGAGAGAAAATGGATTAACTACATGAAAATAAAAGATTTACACTTCTATCCCAACAACACACTGAAAAGTAACAAAAAAACAGTCTTTTTAAGCCCTGGCAGGTGTGGCTCAGTGGACTGAGTGCCAGCCTGTCAACCATAGGGTCACTGGTTTGATTCCCAATCAGGGCACAGGCTTGGGTTGTGGGCCAGGTCCCCAGTAGGGGGTGTGCGAGAGGCACACATTGCTATTTCCCCCTCTTTGTCCCTTCCCCTCTCTTTAAAAATAAAATAAAATTTTTTTAAAAAACTGCACAACTGAGAGGACAGGATAGTGAGGTCCAGAAACACAAGAAAGAGAAACCAGTGGAAACAAATATTAGAGTCAATGGTATCTGCTAATCTCTGACAGCTTAGAGCAGAGGTCTGCAAACTTTTCTGTAAAATGCTACAGTAAATATTTTAGGCCTTGGGGGCCACAGTCTCTGACACATATTCTTCTTTCTCTTTTTTTTTTTTTTTAACAACCCTCTTAAAATGGTAAAAATCATCTTTCATTAGTGAACCATACAAAACAGGCCACAAGCCAGGACTGGCCCACTATCCTTAGTTTGCCAACTACTGGCTTAGAGTGTGAATTCAACAGAACATGAGTAGAGCCCTGCCTGGTATGGCTCAAGTGGCTAGAGCATCATCTCATAAACCAAAAAGTCTCAGGTTCAATTCCAGGACAGGGTACATGCGCAGGCTGCAAGTTTGTTTGGTCCCTGGTCCAGGCACATAGGATAGGCAACCAATCAATGTTTCTCTCCTTTTCTCTCTCCCTCCCTTCCCCTCTCTCTAAAATCAAGAAGCATGTCCTCAGGCGAGGATTAAGAAGAAAGAAGAACAAGAAGAACAAGAAGAAGGACAACAACAACAAGAACATGAGTAGACACGGAAATACTAGTGGGGCTAAGAAGCTTAGGAGGACAGATCAAAAGCACCATCCTTCTCAAACTGGGATACTTCCAAATGAGTGGCACTCACAGGATTTTTAACAGGAAATCTTCCCAACAGAAGGAGATTTACCTGTATGAAACCCTGGCTCTAAATAGAAATGAAAAGTATCACCTAAGACTACTAATTAAAAGCCTGAACTTAGGACTGAAAATTATATTCCCTATATGACACAAAGTTCTAAGATGAACTTCTAATTTAGAAATTAACAAAAAAAAAAACCTCAAGTTTAAAGAGGTGTCAAAGACAAACAAAATTCCTTTCTAGAAGAATTCACTTTAAATCCAGATCTCAAAGAATTCCCACAAATAAAGTTCCAGGGTATGTGAATTCAAAAAAAAAAAAAAAAATCATTGAACATTAAATGTAATGTAGTATTTGGGACTGGATCTTAAAGCAGAAGAAGGACACTAATGGAGTAACTGGTAAAATCTGAGTGATAATATAGTACCAATGTTTATTTCTTCATTTCCACAAATGTACTGTGGATACATAAGGCTTTAACCTTTAGAGAGGCTGAGTGGAGAAACTCGCTGCACAATTTTAGAACTTTTCTATAAATCTAAAATTATCCCAGCCCTGGCTGGTGTCATTCAGTGGACTAAGAGCCGGCTTGCAAACTAAAAGGTCACCAGTTCGATTCCCAGTCAGGGTACATGCCTGGGTTGCAAGCCAGGTCCCTAGAAGGGAGCACGTGAGAGGCAACCACACACTGATGTTTCTCTCCCTCTTTCTCTTTCCCTTCCCCTCTCTCTCTAAAAATAAATAAATAAAATCTTTAAAAAATATATTCCAAATATAAAATATCCTGGAAAGGAAGTAGAAAAACTATATGTAAAACTATATCTCTACTTGCAGATGATGTGACCTTATATATAGGAACTCCTAAGGAATCTACAAAATAACTATTAGAGGTAATAAACAAATGCAGTAGAGTTACAGAATACAAAATTAACATACAAAATCAGTTGTATTTCTACACTCCAGGAATGAATAATCAAAAACTGAATCAACAATTCCATTTATGATAGCAAAAAAAGAATAAAAAACTTAATAATAAATTTAACAAAGGAGGTGCAAGACTTGTACACTGAAAACTACAAAACACTGTTGAAAGAAATTAAAGGCCTAAATAAATGAAACAACCACCCTGTGTTCACGAACTGGAAGATTTAATACTAAGATCAGCAGAACTCCCCAAATCAATCTAAAGATTCAGTGCAATCCCTATCAAATTATAATACTAACTTTAGGACTTTATATATATAAGATAAAGTCAAAATCACAATGAGATACTACTTCATACCCACATGAATGGCTGTAATTTTTTTAAATTTTTTTTAAAAAGAAAACAATTATAAGAATTGAGAATGTGAAGAAACTGGAAACTTCATACACTGCTGGTAAGAATTAAAATATTGCAGCTACTCTGGAAAATAGTTCAGCAGTTCCTCAAAACGTAAGTAATTTGCCCAGGGGTACAGTTAGGAGTAAGAGCTGGGAATCAAGTCCAAATATAACTCCACATTCAGAGACCTCAACAACTAAATTATGTATAAAATATCAAATATTAAGTAATGATTTATTATAGTAACTTCTACTTACTGAATGCTCCAGACTGATTCTCATTTGACTTGCTATGCCTGCATTTTCCAGTGTTTACCTTCTCCCTCACTATCAATTACTTCTTGCTGCTTGCACTTTGGTGCGATCTCAAACAGCACTCTCCACTTTTTTCTCTCTGTGTCTACCTACTAGTCCAATGTTCTTTTAATTGCAACAGCAGATAACAAGCTTACTGGATCCACAAATCAACACATTTTAAAGGGCTACAAGATATGCTCACAAATAAAGTCTACTATGACTTTAACAGCAGTGTTTGTCAAACATTAACATGCACACAAATCACCCTTGGATCTCATTAAATGCAGATCCTTATTCAGTAGGTCAGGGTAGAGTTTGAGATTCTGCATTTCTAACAAGTTCAGCACAGGAAGGCTTTGTGGTACTGCACTATGTAACGCCAATTCTGTTTGCTTTAGTTTTTCTGATTATTGACTACACCTATATAGGTAGCACTGATAATGTTGATTGTATAATAGATGTAGAACCCCTCATCAGTTTTCCCAGGCCAATAATGCAGTAAGTTTCCATTTAAGTTTCCTAACCATTTTCAATAGTGAATTTGCACTGAAAGGTGAACAATTACTATGAACTGATCAACAGTCCAGATGCCTCCCTGTTCAATATCAGCATATCACTTTTAATAGCTACAATGTTATCATCATCATAGTAATATAATAGTAACTATAGCTATAATTTATTAAGCATATATTGTGTGTCCCATAGGCTAGGCATTTCACTGTTTTAGTTTCATTCATCCTTTAAATAACCCTGGGAGGTCAATATTCTCATCCCCAAGGTTCACATCATCATAAGTTCTTAAGTGCTCTACCCTTGCCCCAAAGTACTTGGAAATGATGTAAATACAGTAGCTTCTGAAAGTTAACTGAAAAATCAGAACATGAGGAATGAAAGCAAAAGTCACCTAAGAGAGCCACGACTCCTAAACTGACTTTTGCTTGAATATATTTATAGCTGAAGAAAGATATGTATCAATTAGGAAAATAACACTGGTGAACAGTTGACTTTAGCCAAAAAAATTTAGTGTTCTATTCCTATTGATAAAATACCCTCTCTACTGGAAGATGGATTTAGCGGGCTTATAAAACATGTGACTGGCCTAACCTCCTTTGTTTGATTCCATGTTCACCAAGAAATCCAATCTTTAATATAAGACAGTAATTAATTATGAAGACTTTGAACAATTTGTATGACAGTACCTTATATTATATAGTAGTAGTATATTACACAATGGTCATATGAGTTTAATTAATGTCCATTTACATACCCTTATGGACATGTATGAATCTATTCTCACTCAATCAAAATGCTTGATGTTGAAGGTCAGGCTCTGGGCCACAGCAATTCACCAAGATGATGAGTACTACCCTGTGAAATCCAATAGGAGGAAGGCTCCAGTACTAATAAATCCCTGCTAGACTCCAAGAAGTCAAACTGTCTTTATTTGAAAAGGAAATCTCTTAAAACATACCTCATCTAGGATCTCTCTATTTCTCTGTAGTAGTTCAGGTAGCTCTTTGATCAACTTATCTACAGTCTGGATGCCCCCCTGTCCGATCACAGACGCAGACTTAGTCAGTATAGACTGAGGTACCGTATCTCCAGATACATCTTCAATTGCTGCTGGAAGATTAAGGGAGGCTAACACCCTGAAAAAATAAAATACTATGTTAAATATAGGTCTAAACCACATTTAAAACATTAATCTATATCCAAATCAACAGTAACAGAGTTACCACCCCAAAAGTAGATAAGCCCAATCGATAGAAATATAAAGCAAAAAGAAAGGGAAAAACAGAAAATCAGTGATTGATAAAATTATAACAAAAACATTAAAAATTTAAGTTATTCAAGCTCAAAGCTCAGAATAAAAAGCCAAAAAGTTAGAAATACACATTAAAATATAATAAATACCTTTGGCTGACAGTTCAAACTTAACTTCTTTCAGTTTATCAAAAGTCAAAAAGTCTATCTTAAAAACTGCAATCTTTTTATTATACTTGTTATACTGTCACTGACAATTAAAATACATAAAAGTTATAATTTTGTATCATCTAGGCAAAATTTCAAGAGAACATGGTTGATGTAAGAACTACAGAATCATCTGTTCTCAGCTTGTGCACAGTAACAATTATTCTATTTTTTCATTTATATATATTATTTCATTCATTTATATAATAAAGGGAATGTCAACCTTATGTTGCTTTCTTGCTAGAAAAAGAAAAATGAGGTCAAAATCCATGCATTCATCAAAATTAAAAAACATGAAAAAGTAAACCAGACTAGGGGAAAATATTCTCAATTACATATTATCTGACAAAGGGTTTGCCTCTAAAACATGTAGAGTTCTTCAAACATTAATAAGAAGAAAAACTCAGTTTTAAAAAATTAGCCAAAAATTTCAACAGACACTTCACAACAGATACATGAATGGCAAATAATCACATGAAGAGTTGCTCAACATCTTTACTATAATCAAGGGAATGCAAATTAAACCACAATGAGAAACTAGTACATACCCTAAAATGGCTAAAATTAAAAAGACTCAGTATGAAAAAAAAAAAAAAAAAAGACTGACAATACTAAGGGCTAAAACTACATTTCTCAAACAGTGCAGGCAGGACTATAAACTGGAACGACCACTTTGGAAAACAATCTGTCCTTTTCATATGATGTTAAACATACACTAAACATACTACTCAGCAATTCTAATCCTAGTTATTTACCCAAGAGAAATAAAACATGTCAACACAAAAACTTGTACATGAATGTTCACAGCATCAACATTCTGAAATGTCTACCAACAAGTGAAAGAATAAACACACTGGTATTTAACCATAAAATACTGCTCAGAAATATAAAGGATCAAACTGATACCCACAGTTTATATGAATCTCAAAAACATTATGCTAAGTGCAAGACACCCAACATACTGAGTATATACTGTAGGTACCTATACATATAGCAAATATTGCACACTGTAACAATACTGTACTGTACAATGTACAATATACATACTGCACATGTTATAGTGATTACACTTATATTAAATTGTATAAAAAAAACTAACCTATAATGACAGGACCATCACCCTGTAGATCAGTAGTGGCTGCGGGCCAGGGGAGGAGAAACTGAAGGGAAACGGGCACGAGGGGGTATTTTAGGAGGATGGAAAGGCAGTCTGTCCTGATTGAGGCAGTGGTTGTGGTAGTGGTGACAAGGGCATTCACATTTAGCAATGGAACTGAACTACACATTTAAAATGTGTGTATTTTACTCTATGAAAATTATACTTAAGATTTTTTAAAACCCATGAATCCACCAGACACAAAACAGATTCAGAATACTGAATGTATCGTGTATCTTAATTTATTTCTACTTCCCGTTTCCCTCAAATAAATATGTTCTAATATACAAATTAGTGATCAAATAGCGTCGCTTGGTTTCAGTAATTAAATTTCTCCCTACTGTATTTGGTAGGGCTTAATAACTATAGTGTCCCCAAGATATGCATGTATGTGTGTGCATGTTGATATTTGCTATTTCACACAGCTTTAACATTCATTTCCAAGCTCAGAAAGGAAAATGTTCAGAAACTATTTAAAGAAAAATCAACCATAAAACATTAGAACTTGAGAGACAAACTTATGAAAGGTAAGCTCTACCTACCCATTTGCCAAAGTGGTAGCTTCTCTCATTTGAGCAATTAACCTGTTCACTAAATCAGCTTTCCGCTGATTATAGGCAGCCAAAGACTGCTGCACCGACACAGGGACCATCTTCTCAAAGAGATCTGCAATTAGGCATGGAAAGTTCAACAAAATTTTGAGACAAAAATGCAAATTATTAAGTGACTGTTTATATTTCCTTTCCAATATTCATATAAAGAGTCTATAAATATTTAAAGGTCAAACTAAATCACTATGGAAAGTAGTACAATGATGAAGAGAATTTTAGATCACTGCACTCATGGACAATGACAATGCAAGCGTCTTCTCTGAACTTAAATGTCTTACCTTTTAGATGTGTCTGTCACTGAGTTTAAGGAATCTTTGGTGAAGAAGAAATTAAACATAAGAAAACACTGTTTATTTGTTTTGGGCTACGGTGCCATGGTTTCAGCTTCCTAACTATGAGACATTGGGCAGGTAAATTACTTAACCACTGTGCATCAGTATCCTCATTAGTCATGTGAGGATAGTAACAGTACCTAGCTGATGGGGTTGATGCGAAAAATAAATGAGCTAACATTTGTAAAGTGCTTAAAAGAGTCCCTGGCACACAATCACCCTTTCCCAATAACTTAAGATTATTAATTATCTTTGGGATCTCAGCTACAGGCTACCATACATTGCATGTATCTACAATATCCAAGGATATTATAGCATGTATTTATCTGATACAATCATGATTCCAGAACTTGATGAAACATGTTTCAAGTCATATTTATGAATGTTTACTTTTAATGGGAGAATCTTAAATATAACAAATGTTAACAAAATGACAACTGCTTAAAATCTTTATCATTACTCAAAAGCAGTTCAAGTTTTCTGACTGTTATATACTCTACTATACACTTACTTTATTGCCACTTACTTTCCATCTTAAAATTTCACTGTAGATATAACAATTTTTATTCTCATATTCATTTTGAACAATATGAATACAAATTATATTCAAAGCATACAATTGCATTATGTGATTTGGGGCTACAAAAAGAATAGGTTAAACTGGAGAAAAGATCAGTAAGATAAACTGCATCTGAATGCTTGACATACCAGTGAATTTCTGGCTAATGGGTACATTGATTGGGGTAGATTTCACAAGTGTGGCTTTGCCAATAGGGTCTAGATCTTTGAGGTCTGGAACTCGGTCATGATATATGAAGTCATTATCCTTCTTTGCTGCAGTAAGGGCACGGCTGATTTTGTCAGAAAAATCCTTCACATTGACATATTCATCATAGCGAGCTGCCACTGTTTTAATCAATTCTGCTGCATGCTAAAAAGAAAATGTTGAAAAAAATAATATTTCTTTTTCTCAACCAAGTATTGCTTTTTGTAAAATAAATAAATAAACAAAATCTCTAATTTGAGGATTTGCATTTAGGGCAATGTGGTCAACAGAATAACCTAGCAATTATCCCATCACGAACTACCCCAAAAATGAAGAACAATACATAGTAGACATCCCTTTAAACACATGTGCGAATTCCCAAGAAAATAAAAGAAACCCATGGGTCAAGAAGTATAAATTGACACTGAGGAAGGCTGAATGTCCAGTGTTTTGGTAACCTAAACGACTTTCAATTAAAATGAATTAAAAATCTTCATAGAGACCTGAGATGGGGTCTAAAAACTATGTAAGACAGAGAACAGAAACACCCCCCTTACCACCTCATATGAAGGTAGGAACTTCAAAGGACTACAGCCACAGTGAAAAGAGTGAACCAGAAAAACAGTACCTGACAACATAGAAATCAACAAAGAAACAAATTTTCTCAACATCAATAGAAAATTTTTTTACAAACAGGTCTGCTATTATAATTCATAAGATGAGCATAAGATAAGTATATGCCTCACATAAAATTAGAGCCCAAATTATATTACTTAGGTGGTATCAGGTATAACAACATCACATAAAATAGACAATAAAGTCAAAAGCATTATTTGAAATATATTCAGTACATAATGTTTAACATGTGCCAATTTGCCAGAAAGATATAAAACTTCTTAAATTTAGCATTTAATAGTCAATAGTCTCTAAACTAAGAAATTGATACACCTACCCATCATCAGAGTGGAAGATTTTAACACTCTTGTCTCAGTGATGTCTGGACCAAGTAAACAAAATTTTTAAGATTGCAGACTTGAAGAAGATAATTAATGAGTTTAATTCATCAGACACGGAAAACCCTGAATTCCACCACTGGAGAATATGTAACATTCTCAGGCATTTAGAGAACATCTATACAAAGTGATCACATGAGGAGACAAAGCAAATACCAAAATTACAGAAATACAAGAATGGTTTAATGTGGCATTAACAAATCTACTTATGTAATTCTTCAACTAATAGATTTGAGTTCTTTAAAAAATCAAATTATCTCTATGGATACTGAAAAACATGTGAGCCTGGCCAGATAGCTCAGTTGGTTAGAGCACCATCCAGATATGCCAAGGTTGTGTATTTGAGCCCCAGTCAAGGCACCTACAAGAATCAGCTAATACCTACATAAATAAGTGGGACAACAAATCGCTGTTTCTCTCTCCCCACTCCAAAAGAAATCAATTTTAAAAATGATAAAATTCAATATTCATTCTTGATTTTTTTTAAATCCTTACTCATAAAACAAAAAAAGATAATCTAGTTCCTTAACGTGATAAAATCTTAAACCCCAAAGCTGATACCATGCTTAACAGAAAAATATAAGAAACATCCCTAGAGTCAAAATAAAACAAAGATCACCAGTCTCATCATAGCCAAAGAACATGTGAAAACTAGACAAAAGAATGAATGAAATCAGTTACTACATTTAGGAAAGAGCAAAAAATATAATTTAGTATTTAATATTTATTAAAATATATTTAATAAAATAGAAAGTGATGTATCTGTATACCTGGAAAGCCTAAGAGAATCAACTAAACTATCCTAAGAAATGAGAAAGGTAGTTTAGATATAAAACCAACAGTGCAATACAGATAAACAACCAACAATTTGAAGAGATAACAAAAGAAATAAATCCACTGTTACTGGTAATACAAGAACAAAATATCCATATATGCAAGGTCAATATCAAACTATGAGAGAGGAATAAGTATAAACAAAACAAAAGCTACATCTTCAGTGTAAACTAGGAAATTGAAAAATCACAAATTTAAAACACTTTTTAAAATATGTTAGTCAAATATGATTTTTAAATGTGATCAAACACTCCTTCAAATAGCAAAATTAGTACTAGGACCATAATATATGCTAAGCATGTCAGGAGAAAAAGGAGGCTGCTAAGTGCCCCACCCAGAGAGGGAAGTGAAAGCTATGAAATGGAATGAAGTAGCAACTGCCAGCTGATGACAAAGGCAAAGGCAAATGGCCCCTATGTTGAGCCACCAAGGGGTCACAGAAAAAATGGACTGCTGAGGGGCCTCATCCCAAGAGGAAGCTGCTGAGAGCAAGAGGCAAATTAATTACAAGGGCAGGGATGCTGGGGGAAGCAGAAAAGAGAAGGACTGAAAAGAGGGGAAAAAAGAAGTGAGGGAGCATTCAGATAAGGGTTGCAAAATACAAACTCTAAAGGCATCATCTTCTCAACGTACAAACTCCAAGTGCATCAAAGATCCAAGCAAAGGTTGTGAGGAATTCAGGGAAATACAGGTAGGGAACCGGAATCCTTCCTAAACCAGGGTAGGCTTTAAGAAGTGAAGCGGAGGAAGAAACCACTTGGAAAGCTGCTCGACCCATGCCCCCACTCAAAAACCTCTTGCTACTTCTCTACTAAAATCAATCTCATTCAAAGACAAGTAATTGTAAAGGCATCCCATCTGCCTCAACACAGAGAAACCATAAGGAAAAGGATGAAAATGAGCAATATAACTTTCCAGTAGATAATGAAAATTCACCAAAAAAATGTGACCACGAAACAGATGAAAATAGCATGTGGAGGGGGAAAAAAAACTAAATAAACTTAAAAACCTAAGCACACAATCACAGTACCAAAAACCCCACAAAATGTGAACCGAGGACCAAATAGCCCACATAACAGTGGGTGATAACCAGACAGCGAAAGAACGTGCAACAAAAATTGACTGAACTCAGCAAAGAAAGTAAAATATGAAATCATTTAAGAAAAGAAAGACTGAAATATTTATACAAGGAACAAAATAGGAATAATAGACCTCAGAGAAATAAATCATTGTAAGAAACACAAAACAAGAAAAAGTGAGGAAAATTCAGCAAGCCAGTTGGGAAGGGGAAGCCACTGAGAATTAAAAATGTATGAGATATATCAACCAAATGAAATGTGAGGATCTTGTAGAAATCTTGATTTGAACAAACTGTAAAAAGGCACTTTAGGAATAATAAGGAAAAACTAAACTAAGTCTGAATATTAAGTTACTAGTACTTATTAATTTGTATTAACTATTAATTTTGCTAGATGTGATGACACTATGGTTTCAAACTTCTTTAATCCTTGTCTCTTAGAGACACATCCTCACATACTTAAGGATGAAATGATATGCAATAGCTGCAACATACTCTAAAAACATAAGAAGGGAAGAAGAAATAGATGAAAAACAAATAGCAAAATATTGATAATAATTTAAGCTGGGTAATGGGTATTTGGGAATTCATACTTATATAGATATGTTTAAAATTTTCCATAATAGTTTATTAAAATAAAATTCATCTAAAAGCATAAACAAGCAAGAACAATCAGGAAAATTTGAAAATGATGACAATACCTATCAAGCATTAAAACATTCTAAAGTGTCTGACTTAAGCGGTACGGAATTGAAACATGAAAAGATAAACAGGCCAAAGAAATAGAACAAAAAGTTCAGAAATGGACCTCGAGATAGATAGATATATATATGTAAAATACATTTAGAATGTGATAAAGTCAGACTCTCAAATCAGCAGAGTGAAGAAAACCGTAATGAATGGCTTGGGGGCAACTAGGTAGCCTTTTGGAAAAACAAAAATTAGATCCATACTTTCATATCACATATCAGGATAAACGCCAAATGGATCAAAGATCCAAGTATAATATATAATATATTACAGATATAATTTACACTTTGATGTCAGCAATCCTATTTCTAGGAATTTAAGATATACCTGCTGCTACAGACTGAATTGTGTCCTCCCCAAAATTGAAATGTTGACACTTTAACGCCCAAAGTGATGGTACCTGGAGATACGGCCTGAGAGAGATTATATTTGGACGCAGTCAGGAGAATAGGCCCTTGTAAGAACGGACACCAGAGGACTTGCTGTCGTTCTCCCCACCACATGAAGATGCAGCCAAGAGAGAGCTCTCAGCAGAACCCGACCACGCTGACACCCTGATTCTCAGCCTTCGACCTTCCAGAATTGTGAAAAAAACAAATATCTGTTGTTTTGTTATCAAAGCCCAAGCTGAGATACCTGCTAAGATACAAAATGCCAAGTATACATAATTATTCACTGCATACTGTTTGCAGCAGTGAATCTTGGAAACACAATGTAAGTATCCAGCAACTGGTTTATACAATGAAGTACAATGCAACTCTAAAAAAAAATTAGAGCCCTGGCCAGGTGGCTCAACTGGTTGGAGCATCATCCACATCAAAAGTTGTGGTGCAGTTCCCGGTCAGGGCACATGCCTAGGTTGCAGGTTCAATCCCCAGGTCAGGGTGTATACAGGAGACATCCAATCAATGTTGCTCTCTCACATCAATGTTTCTCTCTCTCTCCGCCCCTTCTTCTCTCTCTAAAATCAATAAAGACATACCCTCAGATGAAGAAAAAAGAAGGCTGGGAGGGAGGGAAGGAGGCAGGAAGATGAGAAAGTCTCCCTATTGCTATATTAAAATGAAGAGATCTTCAGGATAAATCATTATGACAAAAGCAAGAAGCACAACATACTTCCCTCATATAAGAGAGTTAAGAATGTACATTGTATGTATTTGCTTATATTTCAAAGAAAAACAACTTTGAAAGGATTAAATAAGAAACTAATACAAATTACCTATGGTGCAGTGGGAAAAAAGGATGGAAGAAACAAGATAGAAGAAAAAGGTAGAGTGAATGTATACCTTTATATAATACCTATGTTAACCAATTTTTATTTTGAAAATTTTCAAGCCCACAGAAAAATTAACAAAAACAGACCCTCTACCTAGGTTCAACAATTGTTGCCATTTTGCCATATTTGTTTTCTTTCTCTCTTTCCCATATATACACATACATGTTTTTTATTTTGGCTACCCGCCCCCCACCCCACGGAACTGCTTTAAAGTATTGAGTTCACACATGACCCTGCATCCCTAAATACCTCAGCATGTATGTCCTAATAAGAACAATTTCTTTATCCCTGACCGGTGTGGCTGTTAGCTGAACATCGTCCCACAAAGCAGAAGGTCTCCAGTTCCATTTCCAGTCAGGGCGCACGCCAGGGTTGCAGGTTTGGTCCCCCGCTAGGGCGCGTACAAGAGACAACCAATAGATGTTCCTCTCTCACATCAACGTTCTCTCCCTCTCCTTCTCCCTTCCTTCCCCTCTCTCTAAAAATAAAATCTTTTTTAAAAAAAAACAATTCTTTAAATCCTACAAGCTACTATCATAACTAAGGAAACAATACTTTCACAAAATCAGTTTTACTACCTTACAAGGCCCATCATTAATGAGTTACATAAGTCAGAAATGTATTCATTCTGTATGCATGAATCACATTTCTATATCTAAATATTTTTAGGTCTTTCTGAAAATGGTACATTGGCAGCATTAGCAATTCCACCAAGATGAAGTGGACCCACCTTCTGGAGCTAGGTAAACTGCACTGTCCTACTAGCGTAATTCAGGAGCCATATTAAGACCAGGTACAATTTTTCTTGGCTCCAGAAGTGAATCCCAAGCAGCAATTTTATCTTTGCTGCTATCTTACCTATTGTTTTGATTTTCCTGACTCCGATTGTTTTTGTTTCCAGTTTGCTCATAAGTTTTTTTCCCACTGCTGACAGCAATGATTGGAAAGCTGGTTTAATGGTTTGATCACTGAATGATTCCTATCAGATTCATGGGGTATTCTTCACTATTGAGGGAGAGGCTACAAAGAATATGATTTGTTGGTCATCTTTTTAGTCTGTTTGCCTATTTCTAATAATTTCTAAGTCAAGTAAAAATATATTTCATGCCTACTGCATAAAGGAACAGCCCTCCAAGATATAACTCAGTATGTGGTTATGTTCTATATTAACTTCTGACCTATACAAACCCTTATGTGTCTATAATTGAAAAAAAAAAAAAATCCTCGCCTTTCAATGTGGGAGTCTGAAGTAGTTTCCTTTTTCCGGAGTGGATTTTTAAAATAACATTAAAATTTCAAAAGGAGCTCTTCTCTGACTGATTATATTATACAGACTAAATAAGGGCCTGCTTGAATCTAGTAGTCCCAGAATAATCAGAAAATAACGAATCTGAACTTCTGATACTTTATATATGCTAGCCTAAAAAAACCTTCCCCACAGAAACCTCTTTCTTTGAAGCATTTTCATTTAAGAATATAAGTTACTGTGATCAAAGTGAATTCCTGGACAAAGAGATTTGTTTGATAATCTGGGTACTGTAAAAAAAAATATGCTTTTCTCTGATTCTATCAGTCTGGGGTATAATACCAGCATACGTTTTACTTTTCCAAGACTTGGGTTTCTTTTCTCATGAAAAGACTAATTAATGTGAACTTCCTAAATGATACTCGCACAGTATCTTCTAATATCCAAGCCATATTAAAATTTTCTTAACAGTCCTCTTCCTATCCCTCGCTTACCAATACTCAAAAATATTAACAACTCATAAACAGCCCCTACCCCACTGTGAGGTTGCACCAGATGTCACAGCAAGTTGCTGACAGCCTCAATGCCCACTGTATAGATGCGACTGCATAGAAGGTACTCACTCTGCTGTTTACGGATATGTCTATATTTTACCACTGTCCTTCTCAAGTTAGACTTATATGCTCCAATTTAGACCAAGGCTAAACCACAAATTCAGCACTGAACATTCTTCCTGGAGCCTGGTAATTAATTTAGAATACTTTATATTAAAATGAAAATGAGTAAATAAAGAACTGAATGTAAATTTTGCACACATTTTTTAAATAAAATATGAAACTTAAAAAGCATAAAACCTAAAGATAAAAGCAATCACTCGTCTCCACTGATGAGGCAATGAGTGGGAAAGATTTTCATGAGCAAGCCTGGGATTCTCACAAAGAACAAAAAAAATGGAAATCCAAGTTACTTAGTATTTATTTCTAAGAGACCCACCTGTAGCCTTGCAATCTCTTCTCCAAATTTCTTCTGCTGTTTTGCCAGGATAGACTGATGGTACTCAGCATGGGCCTGCATGATACAGTGCTTGGCAGCCAAGATAGGGAACACCTCCTGGAAATAAAAATACTGACCAGGGGAGAGTCCAATGACACAAACCACCACACACAACATGGGATGCAGGAAGGAAAAGGAAAAAAAGACAGAAATTAGAATTACCCCATTAATGGTTTAGAGATAGGTTAGTGATTAAGTGTAAACAGAGAAGACCACATGATTTTGCACAGGTGGAATTCAATAATTTAAATTTTTTTCTCCCAATTAAAATTAAAGGTTTTTTAAAAAAACTTTTAAGTGAAGCCAATTAAAATTTTTACAATTCTCTTTAATCAAGCCATGAAGTCAACATTTTGTTTACAAAGAAGAAAGGAAAGCATGCATTAGGAAGAGAAGTAGAATGGACACTGAGGAATACCAAGCACAAGACTTTAGACGCTTTCTTATGAGCCCTTATCCAGCCCTTAAAGTTAACTGAAACCATTACTCACATACACTAATGAAATTGCTCTATAGCTGACTGTTTCAACATGTTTAAAAGACAAAAGACAGTAAAGTAAGTCCCTCTTACATTCATATCCTGAGACTTTTTAATAAAGATGATTTTTAGCCACACAAAAATTTAGTATCATATAAAAACTAACATTTCAGTGTCATATACTCAAAAACACATAGCAAACAGACAAATGCACCAAATAACTAACTAATATGATTCAGTGCTATTTTGCCCTAATCTGTTTTGATAAAAATTCCAGTCAAAATTAATTTTAAAAGATCCAAAAACATGAACCAAAAAAGCAGTTATATGGGTAGAGGCTCTTCCAAATGTCAAATCCTAGCCTGCAACCTTATTGTTTTTAAGAAGTACATGCCATATAAAACCCAAGAAATATACTATGAAATAACTGTCCAGACCAAAAAAAAAAAAGAGAGAGAGAGAATCAAAAACTAAATTACTACCTGTGTGCTTTCATGTCTCCCAGTGAATAATATCCTAGCTTCCTGGATCACTACTTGCAGAAATTTCAGTTTTATAACTAAAATATGAAAATATCTTATGAGGTTTATTAGCAAAAAGGCAAAAATAAAAGACACCTAAATCTCAAACTGCACTCATGCAAGCTCTCAAGTTAAGGCTGGAGCAACTTTGGTACTTATACAGGAGATTTTCAAGGAACGCTGCAGAGGTGGTTTCCAAGTCTTTGTAGGTGACATTCTTCTCTCCACGACAAGACTGAACTAATGGCCCAACAGGATGTACAACTGTAGTACATTGTGCAGCTGACCATGAGGTCTTTCCAATGAAAGAGCAGAGAGGAAAACCCAAGTCTCTTTTAAAGAGTAAACACTATTAATACCCAAGAGCCCTGGGCAAATTTCAACTAACCTCTAGGTGTATTAAATCTCCAGGAATCGTCACATTGTACATTTTCTGACTAAACTAACATTTCTGTTGATGCATTAACACATTTTTTTACTCCACCACAAAATTGTCTGTAATTTCATAATTAAAAAAAATTCTGAATGACTTAATAAACTCCCCTACAAAAGACTGTGTGACAAATACCATATGCCATTATACTAATGAAACTAATTCCTTGAACACTTCTGAAAGAGTAACGGAACTATACTACATTCCATTCAATCTCTAAGTTTCCCTTTCTAACCATTCTAAATGTACTTATCAGTCTAATCATCTGCTTTGTCATTTATAAACAAACATCACTGACTAGTCATTTCAAATGCCACTTCAGAAAAGTTTACATTAAAATAATTAATACTTCCTGTGATATGTGGGTTAAAGATGGTTGTTTCCTTAGCTGTCCAATAGCAGCCCAATTTTCTATCCCTGTTGACAAAACTTAATTCTAATCAAAGCATTGGATGAATTTGTTAAGCTTCCTTTTCCTTTAAGTCTGTTCTGGCGCTTTAAGACTCATCTTTAAGAAAACAGGACAATAATTAAAAGTGTGATTAATCAACATGCTCAAGTGTTCATGCTTGTACCAAACTGCCAATGATTCGGAACTACACAATGCCTTGAGTTGATAAAGTTACTAGAGACAAATACTCAAAAATTTCCAGAAAGAGATTTAGCTTGGAAAAACAAGTTTAGTGAAGAGCAGAGGCAAAGGCATCCTCTAAATATAAAATAAATTTTCATGCATCTTAAATAAAAAGAAATTTCTACAAATATATTCTTCAAATGCCTCTCCTAAAATTTCAAAAATTTTTATAAAACATAATTTTCAACTTCTTGTGCACAAAAACATCCAAATATTTCCACATGCAATATAATCAAGTGTATATAAAAATAATAACTGACCTTGGGGAAAATATCTTTATATTGACACTGCTTGAAAGCATCACCAAAATAATCTGCAGCCTGATTAGCCAATTTGGCGATGATGGCATCTTTCATTTTGTCTGAAATAAAATAGTAAATTGACCATTATAATTAAAATAAATATAATTAACCTGATATATCATGATTATACATATGTCTTAAAAAAATCCTTATCAATGAAATCAATTCATCTGCATGAAACTTAGTTATTCCTCAGGCAAATACAAAGAGTCCAAAATTAGTTTAGTGTTGCCAGAAGCTAGGGAAAAAAGGGAATAGAGAGTGACTGCCAGTGGGTATGAGGTTTCTTTTTGGGGTGATGATAAAGTTCTAAAATAAGAGAGTGGTAATGGTTACAAAACTCTGGATATACTAAAACAATGAAGTGTGTACTATAAAGGGTGAATTTTATTGTATAGGAATTCTATCTCAATATAAGTGTTACTCTGAAAGAAAACAATTATTCCAGTTCATGTTGCTTCCACATGATGACTGCTCCCTTTTTTTCAATTTCTCTGCACTTCTATGTTCAGCCCATATTCCAATCTGTCACACTAACTTACATGCCTTACAAGAACTGATCTTACTCTTCATTCAGAGCCAGAGACTCTGCCTAGGTGGCTCAATCTTGTCAGTTAGGTCTGGATGAAATGAGAGCTCCTCCAAGATACTCATCTTGACTAATGAATCTAAAACTAGCATGACTCCCTCTATACCTTTACCCCACAGCCAGACTAGTCCACCAGCCATTGTCACATAATCCATCTTATTTTCTTTCTAGAAATAATCTCTCTCTAAAATTACCTTAGCTGCTAAACTTCTTGCTTACTGCCTCTCCCACACTAAAAAACCAACTTCCAGAAGTAGGAAAACTTGTCTGACTCCTAATTCTATTTATCTGGAGCCTAGAACACAGAAAGTACCCAATGAATATTTGCTAATTAAATGCATTTTTCACATATTACAAACCTATGTAAATATTATTCCAGAGTTCAGTGTTTTAGGACATAGCTATGTATCCATTTTATAAAAGACTTCAAACACAGCTTACATTCTTTAATGTGCATTTGTACAACCTTAAGTTCAGAAAAGGAAAGCTGAAAAATTTCAATAATGTGCATGTCAAATTCAAAAAGAAAAACTCTACATCAAAGATGTTATATTCCAATCACCTTCTATTTTAAAAATCTATCACTTTTTCTGACATGCAACAATATGGAGGGCAAACTGAAATTACCTCTTGTGGCCTTTAAAAAAAATACTTCTTGGGCCTGTGCCAACATAACAAGACTGAGGGTCCCAACAGTATCTGGAGATATGTCCACAGTAGGCTCTCGATTTAAGGCAGATAAAACCGTCTCTTTAATATGTAAAAAGGCACCACTAGCAAACTAGAGTGGAAAAAAAGAATTTCTTTAGAATTTATATTAACTCAGCAAGACAATTTTCTACTACACACAAAATCATTCCAATTGTTAACACAATTAAACAGTTATTATATTTAAATTTTTACATAGTGCAAAAAAACAGATCTAAAACATCTGACCTACAGACAATGTTCTAAAACATTATAGAGTAATTGGAAATTTAACACAGATTAAAAGTCAGCTGTGACAAAAAAAAGTATGTTAATGAAACAAACAGTAAGCTCATTTTTAGATACAAGTCCTCAAAACTAACATGAATAGGCAGGGATAAAACATTAGAATGCTTTTAGTACTGAAATGCTCTTGGTTTGATTCCAGACAAATTCATCTCTCAAATAATTAAATACACCATACTAGGGGAAACCTCAATACCACAGTACAGACACCTAGTTCTCCAAAGAACAGTATTACCATCCACTGCTAATGATTTCTATTTGACTTTCAGAGCTCCTTGGTGAAACACTACCCATCCGATTTGTCTTCCCAGTTATATTTTTCTAAAATTAACATTGAAATAACTTGGCTTTCATGAAACAAATGACACTGGGAGAAAAGAAAAAAAGCAGTCAGTCTGTATTTAAAAGGTGTTGTGGGTTATACAGATAAGTTATGCAGAGTTAACACAAAGTTAACTGTTTGAAGTGAACATGTGATGCCCTGGCTGGTGTGGCTCAGTTGGTTAGAGCGCTGTCTCTTAAAAAAATGAAAGGTTGCAGGTTCACTTCCCCATCAGGGCACATATCTAGGTTGTGGATTTAATCCCTGGTTGGGGTGCGTACAAAGGCAACCGATCAATGTTTCTCTCACAATGATGTTTCTCTTTCTCATTCCCTACCTTCTACCTCTCCCTTCCTCTCTCTCTAAAAGCAATGAAAAAATATCCTCAGATGAGGATAAAAATAAAAGTATAAAGTGAACATAATGTTTTCCATAGTTGTGAAGTATCATAAAACTAGAGTATCTTCAGGGAGTGATCAGCTGACCCTGCTTGGTAAACTAACAGAATCACAGACTGTAACAACAAGCAGCAAGGGATCCAGCCTCTCAATCACAGATGTGAAAGTGGAGGCCTGAAGACGTTCAAGGAACTTACACAGGAGCACAAGGTTTCTTGGTGGCAAATAGCCTAGACAAGAATCTATGTCTTGTAATACCACCAGTTCTCTTTCTATCACAATAGATAACCTGCTGTGAATCACAGAGGTGACTCGCAGAGCATAATGTGTCCTCACTCATGACTCAGAATGCCCTCTAAGATCTCATATGCCAATTGACAATTACAGTTAAAACTAAATAGAAGTTTACTTCATCACATTTTAAAATATTTGCCATTTATAGTCTCAAAGAAAAAAGGTGTGTGTGTGTGTGTGTGTGTGTGTGTGTCATCTGACTGTATAGCAAGCAACAATACGTAGTACATTGTTTGCTTAAAGTATGTTTTCCTCTCACTTTCCTAAAATAGCATTCCTCACCTCTCCCCTAAATTTCAACAATGGGAAAAATCAGATTCCATCTCTGGAATAATCAGATTCCAGAGCCTTTGGAGACAATGGAAGGTCCATCTGGAATTCCATTAAATGTGGAAACCAGAGCACCTGAAACCCCAATGGACCACTTTATTAACACTTCGGCCTTTAGTCTCCTTGTCTATAAAATGAGAATGACATTATATAACATGCACCACAAGGTGTATCTGAGAGTCAAAAATGTATATGAAAAAACTTTGTAAATTATAAGGCAATATAAAATATAGAAACATGATTATAGATGTTATCACTTAACAATAATCACTTGTTCTTTAAATTGAAACAAAAAATGAAAGCTGAATAATAAACTGCCACAAAAATCATATGCCATATTAGTAAATGATAGTATACATTACATATCTGACCACATTTAAATATGACCTCTCCACAAGTGCCGGAGTTAAACTTTTCTTGCAAAGAGGTCTTAATTTTTGTGACTCTGGTGAAATTTTACGTATCTCACTCTAAGTAAAAATATTTATGAAAATAATGCACTAATTTTTTAAAGAAGTCATTTATTCAAAAGAGATTTACCAAAGATTTCATCTCACACACTCCATAATTTCTCCCAACATTTACTGAGCCTTTATTATGTGCCAGGCACTGTGCTAGGTGCTGGATATACAATGGTGAGGAAAAACAGAGCTGGCTTATAGGTAATTAGTTTATCTAAGGGCCTCAAAAGTAGAAATCAACTCATTAAAAAGTATATTACTTTTCAAGAAAATATCTTTGTGTAGAGAAACATCTATAAACCTAAATGCAAATTATTTTCAATTTAATCCAACTTAGTGTCAGTCGTTATGTAGTAGCCACTGTTCTGCATACCTGGTAATGCTTAGCAGCGATTTTCAATCCTTCATCATTATCCAGGTTCTGTTCTGCTGCAATCTGGCTAGCTAAGGCTGCACAATTGAACAACACACAGCTCTTTTCATATCCTAAACTTGCAAGAGCTGTAAAAAATTGAGAAGAAAAAATTTATCAGATTATTTTTTCTAAAGAAAATTAACGTTTCAAGGAGAAATACTATAACCTCTATCCCATTGCCTCTCACAAAAACAAGTTTCCAGACCCATTTTCTTACCCATAATACGTTCCCATATTTCTAGCTGCCCTGCCAGGCATTTATTTCCATAGCAATAGTCCCATCATCTAAAATTCAACAGATTAATATGTTATTCTTTCCTTCCCTTTACGTCCACACTGTTATTGGCCAGATTCAAAATGAAGAGTCATTCTTGCATCATTTCTCACTTAAATTCAAATAAATTATTTCTATTCCTCCCATCACTTCTCTCAAAATTATATCTTCTCACCATATTTAAACCAATTCCTCACTACTAAAGACAAGCCAATGCCAGAACCTCCAAGATGGCCTTCTATGCCTCACTCCCTTATGCCAATACATCTCTCAGAAGGCTGGCAAATTACTTGTTTATTTACTTAAAATACAATTCTGGTCAAGAATCTACACACCTCACATCCATTTAGAGAGCTGCTATTTAAACATACACACACACACACACACACACACACACACACACAGAGAAAATAACCATTGTTGGCAAGCATGCGAAGAAACAGGAATTATACAATGCTGGTGGGTTAGCTGCTATGGAAAAGAGTATGGCAGTTCCTCAAAAAACTAGAAATAAAATTACCATACGACCCAGCAAGTCCACTTCTAGGAATCTACCCAAAAGAACTGAAAGCAGGGTCTCAAAGCAGTATTTGCATGCACTTGTTAATACCAGTATTATTCACAATAGTCAAAAGACAGAAGGAACCCAAGTGATATATACATACAATGGAATATTCAGCATTAAAAAGGGAGGAAGTCCTGTCACATGCTACCACATGGACGGATGAACCTTGAAGACATTATGCCAAGTGAAACTGCTGAACACAAAAGACAAATACTGTATGGTTCCACTTATATGAGGTACCTAAAGTAGTCAAATTCATAAAAACAGAAACAGAATGGTGATTACCAGAAACTGAGAGGAAAGGTGAAAAGAAGAGTTGTTGTTAAACAGCACAGAGGTTTAGCTTTGTAAAATCAAAAAGTTCTAGAAATGTGTTTCACAAGAATATGAATCTACTTAACACTACTGAATTTAAAATTGGTTGATTTCATCAGGGGTTTTTTTTAACCATAATAAGAAAAGAATTCAATCACAGTGATATTTCAAGGAATGTGCCAGGCATTGAGCACCAAGCAAAATAATAAGTCTCCTGACCAAAAAAACAAAAACAAAAAAAAAACCTCAACAAACCATCAAGAAGAATCAGAACACGACAGTTTTCTGTGTCACAGAGTAGTGCCAATTTTAATCTAACCCCCAGCCAGTTCTAGCCTCCTTACCCTAAAGTGAAGCAGTCTACACATCAGTTACCCTAACATACTTTCTTGAACATATGAAAAACCTGAAATGACCAGGATGTGAGGAAACCCTGCAAGAAAATAAAGATCAAAGTAAACTGGAAAATTGTGCCCAGAGTAAACAAAGATGATTCCAATAATAAAAAAAAAATCTCAAAGATCCTAATTAGCATCCTTAAAATAAGTTAAAGACAGTATATACATAAAGCAAGAACATGATATTACTTAAAAAAGGAAAATCCTTAAATAAGAAAAAGCTACTAGAAATTAAAAACTTGACTGCTAAAAGTTTTTCAACTGAAATACTAGAAAATAATATCTAGACAGCCCACAAAGTCAAAGAAATGAAAAAGTTAAGAGTTATGAGTAGCTCACAACAGCCAACATCCAACTAGTTAATAAGCATTCCAAAGAGAGGAAAAAAAAAAAGAGGAAACTATCAAAGAAATGTAAGGAAATTTTCCAGGGCTAAAGGAAGATATGAGTCTTCAAAATGAAAGGGGCAACAATAAATGCCATATATAAGGAACAAAATAAGAGTAATTAGATCTTTTGAGATTTCCAAGCAAAAAGGATTAAAAAAAAAATCGCAAAAATCCTCTTAAGAAAAAAGAAACAGGCCATGTACAAAAGATCAAAAATCAGACTTTTCATCAGTAACACTGGATAGTAAGAGGGAAGGAAACAATGCCTTCAAATTCTGAAGAGACATAATCCTAATTAATTCAACAAATATAAATTAAGGCCAGTATAACTGGAAAAAAAGAGAGCAGGGGACAAAACGGTAGGAAATCATGTCAAGGAGGTAAAAGAGAGACAACTTATGCTGTTGAGCTTTTATCTTTTACTGAGTGAAGCCAACAGAGTTCTGAACAGAGACTCATGCAGCCCCGCTGTGGACAACAGACAGCCCGGGAAGCAACACTGGTGGAAGCAGGGACCAAACGGAGGCGGTCGGGCGCTGAGGGCCGACGGTGGCTCCGACTGGAGAGGCAGGAGGACATGTGCGCAGAGGGATCTTCTGACCTTTTGTCAGAAAGTTACCTGAGAATATATTCCAGCAAAAGAAAAGATACAATACCCAACAATGGCTCTCACTACAGGAGCAGTAACAATACGGGAAACTAGTTATGCAGCAGCTTTAGAGAGCACCAAGTTCAGATTCAAGTAAGAAAACAAAAGACGCCATAAGTGAGTGAGACTCTCGGGAAAGGGAATCCGGAGAAATAAATAGTAAGACTGAGAGTTTGGAAAAAGCTCAAGAATATGATAAAAGCACACAATGTATATGGTGGTGGAGCAACTTCTACACCCACACAGGGCAATACAAGAAAGTCATGGCTCAATATGAAGCAACTGGTCCCACTGTATTAACAAGAAGTCAATGAACTTCAGGATGAATGAACTATATTCCAAGCAACAGATACGGGTAAACTTTTCAGATACAACATACAGATCCCAGTCTATAATATTTCCCGTAAACATTATCAACCCAGGCTGTAGTCTTGTCTTTTTATTTTGACATTTCTCATGTAGAAAAGACGTGAAAACTTTTTTCATACAATTAAATCTTGTCATTTTTCCTGTATGATCTCTTCTATCAGATCTAAACTTAAATCAGGTTTTTTAAAAAAATAAACATTCGCCCTGGCCAGGTAGCTCAGTTTGCTAGAGCATTGTCCCAATACACCAAAGGTTGCAGAGGTTCAATCTCCACTCAGGGCACAGACAAGTAGCAACCAGTTAATGTGTAAATAAGTGGTACAACAAATCAATGTTTCTCTCCCTCTCTCCCTCTCCTTCTCCCCCTCAAATCAAATTTTTTTAAAGAAATAAAATATTTAATTCTTTCAAAAAGCTTTTTTCTTAATATTCAACTCCTCCCTATTGTTACCTGAGCTCCTCTTTTTCATAGTAAGCTTCTCAAAATGAAAATAGCTTAATTATATAGTTTTTCTAAAATTTAAATAACTGTTTTTAACAAACTACAAAAGAAATGAAAAATCACCCAATATGCTACACCTCCCAGAGCTGGTCAGTTAATGCAGCAGCTCTGACCTGTAAGAGGCCTTTTGTTCAATATTCCAAGAAGATAACTTTAAATGTCAAATATTTATTTACATTATCATTCTTAGTATTCTAAAATTACACAATATTCTAATGAATGAGTAGCCCGTGCCTTATTTAAGCAAGACATTACTAAAGGACATTGACTTCCCAATACTTGCTACCAGAAATGCATTGATAAACTACCTCCTGCTTTATTTAAGCTTTTTTTTTTTGCCTCCCATTTTTTTAAGGGTTTGCTTCATTGTTTAAGCTATCTCACTTAAGTATCATCTAACTCTCCTGCCATCTGCTCCTTATTCTCAGCCTACAAATTTGCTTATCACAGCAGCACTAAAAACCCTTTTCTAGACCTTGCCTCGCTCTCTCATCATAATGCACCCTTTCCCCTCAAACCTTTACTTAAAGTTTTCCAAAATAAACTACCCACATTTGCTGTTTCCATTCCATCACTCTGGCCCACTCCTTACCCTGACGCAATCTGGCTTCTTTGGCGTGCCCCTAGGGAAAACTTCTTTCATTGCCAAATCCAGGGACCTCTGCCGCAATGACTCTGTCAATAATGTTCCAACCTGGATGAACATCAGTCAGCTGGAGATATTTTCAAAGCTACTAATACCAGCACATCATTCTGAAGTTTCTCCCTATCACATCTGGCATTCTGCAACTTTACTTTTAAGATATATCTGTATCTTTAACATTTCCCCAGGTAATTCTAAAGTGCAGCAGGTTCATGAACTGCTGGACTCCATGGTATTTGAAACTCTTCTGGCATTCATTCCATGTCTCTATTTTCCCTGGTTTCTCGGAAATCTGAAAGCTTTTTCTCAACCTTGTTCCCAGGAATCTCTTCCACTCTCTCCCCTGTATGCTGTAATCTCTGTCTCTGGGTTTCACACTTTTCCCAATCTCTACGCTACCAGAAGGGACAAATTTATTATCATTTAATGATAACTGTTCCCAAATCTATGGTCTACCTCTTTTGAGCTTTTAATCCATCATTTCCAAATGCCGAAGAAAAATTTCTACCCAGACATAATACAGAAAACAACTCAACCTGCCTATTGACAGGAATAACTATCCAACAGGTCAAACCAAGTTATAAACCTTGGAGCTCACCCTCAACTCTTCTCTTCCCCCTGACCGACAGCAGGCCCAGTCAGTTCCGCCTCTGGGTCTGCCATCAGTCAGAGGGAAGAGAAAAGCTGTGTCTCTCAATCCCGCCCCTCCTCCTCTGGCCCACATATGCTCCTTGTCTAATTTCATCCATAACTCTCGCAAGTCTCCTAACTGATCTGTTTCTCCCTAGTCTGTAAGAGTTAGGCTGTCTGGATTCATATCTGGCTTCCTTAAATCCCTTCCATATTACCTTAGAAAGTTACTTAATTTTTCTGCATCAGTTTGCTCAACTGTCATTATAAGTGCCTCTGTTCATCAGGCTATTGGGGAATTCAATTATACAGTATGGGTAAAGCCCCTTCCACAGTACCTGGATGGACTAATGTACTCAATAAATGTTAGCTATTAATATGTAAGCAGGAAGAGTACAAATTTCGTGAATATACTATTTACAACTCTTCACAGTCTACTTTCCACTGTCTTCACCCTCGATAATCACCAATTCAACCTCTATGGTTTCAAGCCTTAACAATAATTAATATTATATTATCATGCACTATATATAATTTAAACTGAATAATGTTGCTATGTAACAGTATATAACATATTCTATAATACATATGGAGCATATATAACAAATCAGTTACATATAATATTATTATTCATTGCAGCTAATATTTACTGAGCACTGTTCTAAGGACTTTACATATATTCACTCATTTAATACATACAAAAAGCCAAAAAGATAAACAGTACTTCACAGTACTATTCTCCACTTCATACAGAAGAGAAAATAAAGCACAGAGAGGTTATGAGCAGAGCTAGTAGATCAAAAAAGCCACACTAAGCCACACTCTTTTGACCTTTGGTTATAAAGTTGTACCTGGAAAAACCAAATTCATCCTTTCAAGGCTAACTCAAACACTGCTTATTTTCCACAGGCAGAATTAACTTCCTCATCCACACTCCCCTAAGTTTGTCTGTTCAATGATCAACTTTCTTCCCAACCAGCCTAAGTAAAACTGTCTTACTCACTTTTACAACTAGGACAGTGCCTGGCAAGGCATAGGCTCTCTACATATATTTGGAAATGGCATTAAAAACTGAAGTTAAAAAGAAAATAAAATGTAAAAAAATTATTTCAAAAGAATCATTAAAGAGCAATTTTAAAAACCTAAAACAAAGTGCTTAGACCAAGTTCCCTAAGATTTTTATTTAAAAAATTACATACCCAACTTTACAGATCCTCCAAAAAGTGAGCCTTTATCAAAAGCATCCTTCCAGGTAAATGTCAAGCAGATCTTGATAGAGAGGAAACAAAAAATTATGTTGCCTTCTTGGATCTCATTAAATAGTCTCTTTCAAAGAAAATTTCACAATGCTGAAAAACACAAAAGCTTCAGCCTATCTAAAACATTCTCTTCTCTAACCAACTAATTCCTTTTCCTTTTTTGTTTTTTTTTAAGTAAAATATTAGCACTAAGTTATTTCAAATGGTCATTCTGCTTCGGTAATTGTACATATTTTCTCTTCTTCAGAAAACATGGTCTTATTCATCTTTACAAACACGCAATGGATTGAACAGAATAGGAACTTAATTGTCAAATAAACCAAGAAAAGCATAGACAACAAAGGAGATACTACAGGTTTCCCCAGAAGGTAAAACAAAAACTATTCCATGAAGACAAAAGGAAGAGAATGCTTATCTTGGTGGATGGGATAAGATCATTCATGTCTTGATTTGGGTAGTGGTTATATAGGTATATTCACTTTACGGAGATTTAAGTTATACATGAGTTCAGTTTTCTGTATGCTATACATGAATGAAAGTTTTAATTTAAAAAAACTGAATCTTGCACTTCCAAAATATTCTGCATATGAAGACTTAACTTAACCTCTTTTAGATTATGTGTTGCAATCTAATTTTTTAATACTACAGAAACTTTCAATATACACAAAACTAGAGAAAATAACATAATGAACCCACATATACATATCACCAGTTTTTAGCCTTTTGCCCTTCAAGGTTCACCTCCCACCCTAAACACACACATACTTTCTTTTCTGGAATATTTTAAAGTAAATCTCAACATACTATTTCACCTATAAAAACTTCAGTAAAAGAATGCTTAAAGTATTTTTCATTAACTATTTGAAAATAGTTAATGTCACAGAAATGAAAAACTTTGAACAAATCTAAATAAAACTGTAAGAAATCATCAGTCTTTTAAAAAAAGTAGATATTCAAATGTAAAGTACAGCATCCAATCATAACAGCATTTGCAATACTACTTGCAATGTATGTAACTTGTGAAAATAATTTTTAAGTATATAAACTGAAACATACTTCCTGAATTACAGTTTCCTTCTCATTCTGTAAAAGCCAAAGGGTAGAACACTATAGGTTAATCAAGCAATAGGCCCTATCGATATAAAATGCAGTAAAAAAAAAAAAAAAGTGTGTTTGTATGTGTGCATGCACTAATACACCAATGCTCTACGTGAGCCCAGAGGTTACTGAGGAATGACATGAATAGAATTCCAGGAGACATTCTTCAAAAAGACACAGATTCGTATCAGATAGGCCTAAAAGCTTCTAATTTGTACTAAAAAGTCTCCTAAAAACCTGACGACAGGAAGAGGCACCATTTATTTTAATAAAATGATACCACAGGTGGGAGGAAATGAGTGACTTGCCACTGTCATATAGCTTTACAAATTAAATAAATGACTTACCTGATTTTCAGAAAATGGGAACTTAGGTTCAATAGAACAGATCTGATCATAATATCTAAAAAACAGAGCAAAATTAAAAATTAGCATACCTAAATACTATACACATTTATGTAAATACAACTGGGTAAAGAGTATACTAAAATGATTCATGCTTTGAGTGGCCCACAAATCAATCAGCCATTTTGAAATTAATGAACTTACTTGTTTAATGTGTAAATTAGAAATAAAATGCATGCAATAAAAAAATTGTGAACGAAAACTCACCCTCCCACCAAAGAAAAATATTTATCAACTATTATTACCTAAAAGCAACTATCTACCAAGAAAAACCAAAGTATTTCTTAAAATAATATTTCTTATTACAATAGCTGTTCTATCCATTGAGTAAATTACTATCTCTGGTGAACTGATTAAAAACAGGTCTGCCAACTTCCAAAAATGTTTTGGGTATGTCCACTTCTGTCAATCTCCACCACTGACACACAGTTCATCAAAGCTATTACCCTCCCTTTAAGGTAGACTAATCCAAATTTTCCTCGTCAACCTCTCCTTTTTTCTCCTTTCTCATTCTTTTCCATCTGTTCTTCACAGAGCAACCAGAATGACCGTCAGGCATGAAGCAGTCTTCTCCCTCATCAGGATGACCATCGAGTTTGCAAGGGGGATGAGGAGGTATCCAAGGCCAAGCTTTCTAACTGGCCTCTAATATTTCCTCCTTCCCTTATCATCTCCCAACCTCCCACTACTTCATCAGGGCTATTTTTCCAATGGTAACTTTTGAGGCCAAGTTTCTGGGGCGAGGGGCAACATATCAGAGATCACGCTTTTGGCTGGCATGGCTATGAATTTGGTTACAAACAGAAAGTAGCAAGCAGTTAAGTAAATACATTGAAGACAATGGGAGCCAGGTTTCTAACTATCAGAGAAAGGAGTTACTAATCAGGGAAGAATAAATTCTGTGGCTTTGGACTTTCAGAATTAGAGGTATCACTGTGAACTCATTTTTTTAATAGAGTAGAAAGTTAAGAAAACAGGTGGGGGGGGGGGGGGGGGTGTCCTAAATGTGTTTGTTGAGAGGGCCTAGAAACAGTAACACCTAGATAGCTGTAAGCAAACCTAGTGCCCAGATAAACAATCCTCTCCATTAAAAGGAGCCAGTGCTGCTTAGAGATACAAGTGACTTCACGGCTAAGATTGAGAAAATTGAAGACTCAAGCCTAAAACATCTTGCTTCACAGGAAAGTTAAGGAAGTATTCAAAAAATGAGGAGATCATGTCAAAAGGACACAGGAACTAGCTGTAAGAGGCTCCCACTAGCCAAGGAAAATTTTCCTAGTCTAGGAAAATTTAAATAAGATAAATCATAACCCACTGAAAATAAGACCACCCTAAAGTTAATAAACAGGTGAATAGGGAAAGTTCTACCCTACTGTACAATGCCAACTAATAAGTCTAGGAGAAATGGAGTTAGAAAAATCAGCATTTGGCACCTTTTAGAGAATAATATCTGATTCAAGTAAGATTCATCAATGGATGCCAAAATAAAAAAGTTCAATAGAAACAGGATTATATATATATAATCTCAAAGTATCTTCCCATAAAATAATTACTAATTAGTACAACATATTAATTAACTGTAAAGTTAAGAAACCTTTACACTTAAAATAAATACATAACGTCAATCTGCATTTTTACAAAAAAGAAACTCCTGCCTTCCACGACAACATGGATGGAACCACAGAATATTATGCTAAGTGAAATAGGCTAGTCGGTGAAAGACAAATACCATATGATCTCACCTATAACTGGAACCTATTCAACAAAATAAACTAACAAAATAAACCACAGGTATGGAAACGTGGAGCAGACCGAAGGAGAAGGGACTAGACAAAGAACATTATGAAAGACTCATGGACATGGACAACAGAGTGGGAATTGACTGTGGGAGCAGGGGGCAGGGTGGGATGGGTGGAGGGAGGGCAAAGGGGGAAAAATTGAGACAACTGTAATAGAATAAACATGATTTAAAAAATTTAAAAAAAATTAGAAATGTTGAACTACTTAGGCCTATTTAATATGCTTAAAGTATATGGGAAGCTTTGTCAAATAAAAAATAATAAATATGTTCTATTTATATACATTTATTTTTATCATTAAAGTAGCTGTTCTAGAAATTATACAAAAATCTCTAAGATTCTACAAAGTTCTAATATACTCTCATTTGTAATTTTAGTTATTATCCTAAAATGTTTCAGGAAAGCAAATTCCTTTGTCAACTGCGTCATAATAAAATCTGTAACCATAAAAAAAAAAAAGAAAAAGAAACCTGGGAGACACCATCTTAAGGGATAAAAATTAACATTACCAGCAATAGGACAAATCAAATAATGTTCTTGATAGGCACTAAAAAGAATACAGCATCGCTTCAGTGGTACTACTGCCCAAAACTGCATAAATCACAAGAAAATAGGAGGCAAATCCTTATTGAAGAACATCCTACAAAGTAACTACCCTGTACTCTTCAAAACTGTCAAGGCTGTGAAAGACAAGGAAAAAAATGAGAAACTATTTCAGATTGAAGGAAACTAAAAAGATAACAATTAAAAGCAACACAGACCTGTATTCAATCCTGACTCTATTAAGATTACTGGGAAAAATCAACAAAATTTTAATGACTTCTATGGATTAAATAGATTTAATCAATGTTAATTTCCTGATTTTGAATGTTGCACTGTGGTTTTATAGAGAGTATTCTTGTACTTAGGAAACAAACACTGAAGTATTAAGTGCTCAAACCCTATAATGGATTCCCAAGATTCTTCAAACCACATCCAAAAATTCTGACAACGTCCGGCATTACCTGCCCATCATTCAACTCTCCAATCCTCATCTCAGAATATTCACTACACAAGCCAGTCACTACAGTATGCTCTCTCCTAGCCCTAGGCTGCACACTTTTTTTTCCTCTGTATCTGCACATTTTTCTCATTACAATTTCCTACCTTTCTTGTCTAGGCTGAGGAGTCATCAAAGAAGCCTTTCTTCATTCAGTCGTTCATTCATTCATTCAACAAATATATACAAATAGCTTACTATGCAAAAAAACACAGTTTTAGGACATAGGAATTCAGCAGTAAACAAACATTTTAAAATGGGTGTGCCCTTTTGGTCCGGGGCAGGCAGTTCAATTGGTTAGAACACCCTCCCAATACATCCTCACATGCAGCCAAAAGCAGACTCAGAAAAAACATACAGACCTAAAATAAAACTATACTTAGTTTTTAAAAAGAAAAGATAGCGCCCTGAGTGGTGAGGCTCAGTTAATTGGGCATTGTTCCACAAAGCAAAAGGTTGTGGGTTCAATTCCCAGTCAAGGCACACGCCTGGGATGCAGTTGTTCCTCCAGGTCAGTGTGCGTACAAGAGGCTACCTATTGATGTTTCTTTCCCTCTCTTTCTCCCTCCCTCTCCCTTTCCCTCTAAAAAATAAATAGATATTTTTTTTAAAAAAAGAAAGAGGTGGCTGTAAACCTTTAGTAAATTTGATCAAAGGGGAAAGTCAAACATAGCACAGGTACAACATTAAGAATAAGAAAAAATCATAAATGCAGATTACAAGGAGAATAAAACATTTTCCAAGGACTTCTGTGTGACAAAAGATACCATAAACATAATTAAGAGACAAGGAACAGATTTAAAGATGATATTTGCAATATACGTAAGAAAAAGGGATAAACTGCCAGAAAAGATAAATAACTCCTAAAAATCAGTAAGGAAAAAACTAGCAACCTAGAAAATGGGCAAAGAAAAAGAACAGGCAATTCGCAGGAAAATAAAAAGAAAACTAAGTGACCAGTGAATGTAAAATGCTGGACCTCCAAGAAATCAAGGCACTGCACCCTAAAACAAGGTACCATCTCTCATCCATCAGTTTAACAAAATGCAATAATTTGAATTATTAATCAACAAGTATTAGGAAAAAAACATGGAAGAATTAAAAACTCACATACACCTGCTGATAGGAATGTAAACTGATTCGACCACTGTGGAGAGCTAAAAGTATAAATACCCTACCCTACTCCACTTAAATAGAGAGACCTGAAGAAACATAAAACATACTTTTCTGCTCCCTCCAAAAATGTCATTAAAAAATAAATAAAATTTTAAAGATGTAAATGCACAAGGATAAAAAAGAATAGGAAAGGGCACAACAGCATACAAGATGTTTCAGTGAAATTTTATCAAAGGTAAAAAGTGAATGAAGTAGTGAAAGCTGAAAATCTAACTGCCTAGAGGGGAGGGAACTAACAAAGTATAAGCTAAATCACGTCAGAGAAGCCAGCAAGAATCTGAATTAAGAAACATGAAGTACCACTGAACACAGGAATTCAGTGTGAGGCTGGAAAGAAAAAGATCAGTAGAAAAATCTCTGAAACCTTTAAGTTACCACATCCTCTAATCAGAGAGTAGGTTTACTCAGAGGAAATGTTAGAGATATCAAGCACAGCTAAGTGGGAAGGAATGGGACTGAGATGCTTTGGCTGGGAGTGCTAATTGTCTTCTGCATCATTCTCTCTCCTTCTTCCTTACTAACAAAACACCAGATTTTAGGCTCAGTATGTGGCTGCCTTACATAAAAATTCCTTTTACTATCCTGCTCTTCTTCGAGATATAGAAATAAATAATAGCCAATAACATATGAGTAGGGTATTGTGGGGCAATTTCCAGGAAACTTCCTGGAAGCTGAGTCTTCTGACCCTTTTCTCCCTTCCTCTGTCCCGCTGTCTTAAAGTTGGGTGTAACTGCTATCTGGACCCTAAGAAAAAGGATTCGAGGTTTTACAAAGCATAGCTGGAAGGAGCCTGAGCCAGATGAACTTCAAAGAACCACTATACCAGTCCTGGACTATGAGAACTATCTATCGACCAAGTTTTTACATAGGAATAAAATCATAATATAACTCACTGATGACTTGAGATCTACCACATGCAGCTGAATCCAAACCTGATACAGGTGACACACTAAAAATACATAAAAGACTGCATTCCTGATTGTCAAGATCCCCAACACCCATTTTTCCCAATCAAATTTCAAAAAGCTGACAACTCAGCTTTTCCATGGAAGGAGTTAGTATTTTCTTTCTAAAAATACTCACTGCCACAAAAGACGTGGATGCTGATACCTGGAGCTACAAAAAAAAAAAAACAAAAAAAAAAACCCACGATTCCCATCTGACCACACTAAAGTCCACCAAGGCTCTTCTGATCAGTTGTTAGTTAAAGCCTCTTTATAAAGGATGACACTCATTCTCAGTATCATATACATAACATGTGAATTCTAGAAAATTTTAATAGAGCTACATAATAATAAACAGGCAGGTCCATCACTGAACCTATGTGTGGAGCTGTGTACCAGTACTGATCAAGCTAGCTTCTATTCTTTCAAATTTTTTTATTTATTGTTTTGAAAGAAATATTTTGTTGTTCTGCTTATTTATGCATTCATTGGTTGCTTCTTGTATTTGCCCTGACTGAAGATCCAACCCACAAACTTGTCATATAAGGAAGACGCTCTAACCAGCTGAGCTACCCAGCTGAGGCACTAACTTCTATTCGTTAGTAATTATCTTAACCTCTCCTTTTTGAAATTTTATTTAAAAGTTCATTAAGTTAAAAATACCTAATTAATGTTCTGTTTACACAATTATCCAACATAATTATTAAAGATATTTTGCTTGCCCTGACCAGTGTGGCTCAGTTGGTTGGGCATCACCCCACAAGGCAAAGGGTCACCAGTTTGATTCCTGGTCAGGGCACAAGCCTGGGTTGTGAGCTCAGTCCCCAGCTGGGGCTCACATGAGAGGTAACTGATCAATGTTTCTCTCCCACATCAATGTTTCTCTACCTCTCTTCCTCCCTCATGGATCCACTCTCTCTAAAAATAAATAAATAAAATATTTTTTAAAAAGATATTTTGCTTGACTGGAACAAAAATCTCACAAATGTTTGATTTTTACAGTATATATACCCATTATAAAATTTAATAGACTGTAGTATATCTATTACCTTACCCTAACCCCACTATGAAGAGCAGGAAGTTGGGGAGGGGACCATAGATGATAATGATCTAGGAGATGATAATACAGAGGTGACTAAAGAAAGATGTTTAGTTTCAAAGAGGCTATCTGTGCAAAAGCCCTATTAGGAACAGTTCTCACATTTATGCCTGGGAAAAGAATAAAGGGATGAACAAATGAATGAAATTTTAAAGTTCACAGCAGAACCCTATCAGTACCACAATCCACTATTCTCTCGTTTATTAGTCTTAAACCCATGCATCAAATGTCACTGAAGACTCCAAGTTCCTTAAGGGTTGGGACCAAAACACACACACTATTCAACAAGATTGTTATCAGAGTGTTCATTATACCCATGCTTTTTTAATACCACTAATGGGAAATCCTCCCTGAATATTATTCATGTCTACATAAAAATTGCTTTGGAGATCTTTTTTGAAAGTTTGTTAATTCTAAAGAATGTCTTAAGTAATCCTAGGTTAACTTTTTAAAAAGTGCTCAAACTAATGATTTTTAAAACCCAATAGTTTTATCTTTAAAACTGACACCAAAAGATCTTAATCTCTCCAAGCAACCTATTCAATATCCTCCTTTTGGGGAACCAGATCTTTCACAATCCATCCACACTGCCTTGATCCATGGGGGGTGGAGAAAACTCAGATGAGTGACTCAGACCGGCAATTAAATTCGCACATTGCCCACCATCATAAATGGGCACAAGCCAACCCAATCAGAGGCCTCCCATGAGCTAAGGGGGAAAAGCACTCTCTTAGGTAAGATCCTGAGGGTTACCACCACTGTAATCACAGTAGACCTGCCAGTGGCCATCTCTCCCAAAACAGGAACAAAAGTTTACTAAGAGGGAATCAACATGGTGGCAAGAGGGTATCCAGTGATGCCTAAATCTAAAGAAGCCGTATGACTAAACTTTTCCGTTACTGAAACAAATAAGTTTAACATGGGATTCTCCTACTTGCATCCTAATACAGCTGTGTTTCTCCTGTTAAACAAGGGTATGTTACTCACAGGAAATGAGATTAACAAGGTAGGCAGAAGAAATTTTTTGAAATATAAAGTGTTATAAAAATGTTGTTATTCTAACCGGAAGGTACCAGCATGAGTTCAATAAGAACTTGTAAAATAACAAATTTACTCCATTGTGTGCATACCTGTTTGTGAACAAACTGATTTTAAGCTATTTATTTTGAACCTTCTGTCACTCAAGTTTTATTTCAGTTAACTGAAGCGCCCAACCTTTGGAATTCTCCATTTGTCATTAGATTATGATGAACTTAGGAAGATGGCTCATTGCAAATGGACATGTAGTAACAGCATTTGTTCCAGTGTCCCAATTCTCCCATTTCCCTTAGGCAACTACTAATTTAAAACCTAAATCTGGACAAGAAATACAAAAAATAGCGGAGGGAAGTCCCAGTTAAAGCCCCCCACCCCACCTCCCCCAAAATGTGAAGAAAACTAGTTCTGGGTAAATGTGGCAAGAGAGATCAGTACACGCAGCCCGCTCCTCCCAGGTATTCGATCCAGCAAGTCGGACGGACCACGGATGCGGGCGGGCGGCCCGGCAGGACCAGCAGGCAGCCAGCAGGGCCGCTCCCGAACACCAGGAAGGAATGTAGACCACACCTACGCCCCCGGCCGAGCCAGGGTAGGGCAGCCCGGCCTGGGCCTTGGCTGCGAGGGAAGAAAGCGGGAAAGGCAGAAGACGGAAGGGGTCTGCAGGCTGCAGACCCCGGCCCTGTGCCCGGCCCAGGCCCACCTCAGCAGCGTCTCCAGGGCGCCCTCGTGTTTGTCCAGCGGGCGGCCGAGGGCTGCGCGGCGCAGCTTGCTGAGCTCCTCGGCCGCGCGGCAGTACTGGGCCTGCTCCTCCCCGCCGCTCGGGTACGTCTGCTGGATGAACTTCACCAGCGGCTTGGCCAGGTCCACTTCTGAGGTCTTTTTCAGCTGTACTGAGATGAACGTCGCCATGGCGAGCACCTGGGTCGCCGTTCCGGCCCAATAAACTGCGGGACAGCGACGAAGCTGGGGACCGCGGGGCACTTGGCTAGCTCACTGGCGGACCCACCGTCTGACGGACGGGAGCTCTGCCTGAGCTTCTGTCCGGCCACTTCCGGGAGCTCCTGCGCAGGCGCCCTCGGCGTGCCGGCGGCGGTCACGTGAGGGAGCCTGGGCGGTGGCTCCGCTCACCTGGGTGCAAACGGGCGAGGCTGCGCGAGGACGTTCGTGCTTTTACGTCACTTGGAATTTCTCGCTTCCTTACCGCAGCGACGGGTGGACAGAAGCTTTTACATAAAAGTGACCACTCCTCCCCTCGAACAACTCGGTGAGGTCCTGTTACTGCCACCCTAGAGAGTTGGTGGCGGCCACCTGTGCAAGACCTTACAGCCTCGGTGTTACTATGACCTACGGTAGTTTTTATTGTCCATGCTACCGTGCGCAAGCACTGAATGGACAGTAAGCCTAGAAAGCAAGGCTCCTACCTTTTATAGTTCAGGTACGGACTGAAATACTAAAGTGGACAAAAAATGTTTCATGGTACCAAAAACGGGGTTCTTGGGATCTGGGCTATTAGGGTCCCGTGGAAAAACCTGATTTAAACAAGATAATTAGAGAAGGCTTCTCTGAGACGGTAGACTTAAAATGACCAGTTTGAGAAGATGCGTGACATAAGAAGGGGAAAATGGCAAAGGAGGGACAAGGCAGAGCCTCCCAGAGCCGGGGAAGCAAGTACAGAGGCCCTTGGAGGCAGTACTTACCACGTTCAAGGAGCTGAAGCCAACAGTGTGGCAAAAACTTTTAAAAAGCAACTAGAGAATTGAATGAAATAAAGTTGGAAGAGTAAGCAAGCATCAAGTCATTCAAAACCGTGTATGCCAAGTTAAGGAATTTGTATTGTGAAATAAAGCAAAGGAAGTTCTAAAATGGAATTTAAGCAATAGTGACATTATACAATTTACAATTTAAAAAGGCCACCGTGTGCATCAATCTGATAGTGCATCTCTTGATGAGATGTAGTATGAAGTATACAATATCTGTGATATATTCCAGGCAAAAAATATTTCACTTGAATCAACCAAACCTTTGCATCTAACACAATTCATAAGAAACACAGGGGACAGAGGAACAAATTAAATGATACCATAGGAAGTAACCAAACAAATACAGAAGGTGAAACATTCTGGAAGATAATGGTGCCATCTCTTCAATAATTTCTTGTTATGAAAAAAAGCTGCTACTCTGTGAAAAGAATTGTAAAGGACCTAGAGTCTGGATTGAATCCTTGTTTGAACAGGTCACCTATTAAATGCATTTTCTGGACAATTGAGGAACTTTAAATATAAATGAACTGAGTACAAGATGGAAAGGTATCACCATGAAAGGTGGAGATCATTAACTGAAAAGAGCAAGCTGCAAAACAGTATACAGGGGTGGGCAAAAGTAGGTTTACAGTTGTAATACAAATAATACAATAATAAACAATAAAAGAATTAACTCTGTTTCATGTACTCAAAACTGTAAACCTACTTTTGCCCACCCCTATATATATTACAATATCTCACTTTGGTTACAAAATGCACATGTGTGCTTTTAGGCACTATGAAAAAAACCCAGCATTGTAATGGGGTGCAGAGTGGGGGTCCCCAAAACTAGCAGTGCATATTCCTCACAAACCTTAATTGGTTGGGGAAAGGGAAAACTGGACAGTAAAATGTTTAAGACACTTCGCATGACAATGGCAAATTAATAGCTGTGCTGCTGCCCTGGGCAAAGGTGTATGTAACTTTAAGAGCCTCTAGTGACTCATGACATAGCCGGGGAGACAGATGACCCTGTGTCATGGGGGTCTCTTGCCCTGACTAAAGATGGCAGCCAAAAAAAGGTAAAAGATACAGGGGAACTGGCAAAAGTAGCACATCTTACTTAAGAGGGGCTAGATACAAGGTCACTTAGGAAGTTTTGGGCCGAGCATTTAAAATAAGGGCAGGCTGAAAGAGAAGGGGATTCTGCCATGTGGCCTTGGGGAGTAAGGACTAAGATGCCATGCAGGCTGGAGGAAAGGGCATTAGAGTTGATGGAGATGTGCGGGAACTGCCTATCCAAGCACAGGTTCATGGGAGATGCTTGGAGCTGAACTGAACTGTGGCTGGGAATGCCAAATGCAGGTTCAGCTTCTCTGAAGGATGTACAGAGAAGCCACTCTCTTAGAAAGTGGGAGTCCCTGGACTCCACCGTGATCCAGTGTAAGAAGGCACATGTTTCCCTGAACCATTAATGGAGGCTGAAAACAACGTACCCCAGATCCTAAAGGAGAGAGCTGCCACAAGAGGGTGGTGACTCTGAAGCCCACAAGAGCACCTTCCAGAGAGGATGGAGACCTCTTTGCACAGCTGGCTTAAGAACAGATAAGGATATGGGGGAACTTCTGGACATGGTTTTGGCTTATATCCTGGTGGGGAGCAGGGGAAGGGCCAGGTCTTGTGGGAGAGCAGGGCTCTGAGCAGTAGTGCTCTTAGCGACACCCCCCCCACCACCACACATACCCAGGTTGGAATCCTGTAAATAAAAACCTGTTCCCTTCAACACTAATTGTTGGGTCATGCATCAAAGCACCATGTGGACGAGCCTTGGTTTGCTCAGTTACAGCATTAATGCCCTAAGGTGTTAGCAGTTGTAATCTTCAGGAGTGGAAATGTATATTTTATTTTCTTTATTTTTGCCTACCTTTTCATGTAATTTTTGCTACTTTTATAAAAGTTTATAACCATCTTTATAAATTTATTTTAATTATAATATTGTAGGTTAAATAAAACAGCTGCTGTGCAGTGAATACATTAAGAGGACAGCAAAATGGGAGCTGGGAGGCAAATCATGAGACCATTTTTCAGAAATCCAAGCAGGAGATCATGAAAGCTAGCATTAGCAGGACTGAGTCAGGTTGATAGATTTAAACATTGAAGAACTTAACTGATAAACAGGATAAGAAGGTGAAGAAAAGGGTGCAGTTAAAGCGGTAGTAGGGCCTGAACATGTGAGTGGTTGGAATCATTACTGATACTATAAGGAAAACTGTTGAATAATCCATTGATGGGGTCAAGAGTTGGGATGTGATTAAACACAAGCATTCAAGTGGAAACATTAAGTTGGCAATTGGGTCTATGAGATTACAGCTGTAAGAAAAGGTCTAGTTTCAAGTCCCTGGGACTATAAAAGAACACAGTGAAATGGAAATAGTTCAGAAGCTAGAAGGCAATATAGTGTCAGATTCAGTGTTTTTTAAGACAAAAGATAATAGGGTCGCTTGTAGGTTGGTCAACCAGAATGATCCACTGGGGAGAAAGTGAAGATTCAGAAAAGCTGAGAATAACCAAAGTAGCAAGATATATGGTAAGAGGAGAGGAAATTGTAACAGAAGCAGGGAGGGTACACATGGAGGGATTAACTGTCAGAAAGATGAGAAATATGTCATTTGTTGAGGCAGATGAAAGAAAAAAGGAAATCAACATAGATGGGGTTAATTTTGTGGCATTGATCAAGGGAAGATTAAGGTGCCCCTCTCTGATGGAACTTAGAAAAAAATCCAAATTCCTTTACAGCGCATGATCTATTTCTGCATAGGTCTTCAACTTCATTTTTTGCCACTTGCTTCTCATTTAGTACTGCCCAGTCACATCAGTCTTATTTCAATTTTTCAAACTCACTAAGATTTTTCTTTCCTCACATGACCTACAATACTTTCCCCCTTCATATCTCAGTTGATATGTCTGCTCCCTATGATACCATTTACACTAAAGTCCCCATTTGTTCCTATCTGGCTCAGCCATTGTTCATTTCCTTCTTAACACTTAACCTCCAAGCATTTTGTTTGTTAATTTAATTTTTCTTGTACTTTCCCACTAGAATATAAGCTCCATGAGGGCAAAAATTGTGTTTGTTTTGTATACTGTTCTATCTCTATTACTTGGCCTATTCTATGCACTCAGCAAATATTTTTGGATGAGTAAAAAACTCAGTTACTCATCCAAAATTTACCACTTATAAAAAAATTTACATTTCTACTATCAAAATAACACCCCCTCCCCAATAACAGGTACCTTTATTACTTAGGCAATAGGCCAGTGGCCCAAAAATAAAGATGGTATAATAGAATAAGCTAGCTCGTGCTCTGGTAATAAACGATTTCAAAATCTCAGTTTCTTAACATAATAAACATGTGTTTCTTGCTCACTCAAACTCTAATGGGAGGGACAGCTGTCCAGGGTAGCTGTCTTCCAAGCAGTGTCTTGGTAAACCAGGCTAGTGTGATCTTTTAGCTCAGCCATCTCAACACGAGATTCCACGCGGCAGCTTTTGACTGCCTCAGCCCTCCCACATCCTCTCACATTTTACGGGCCAGACCTTTCACCTTGTCCCATCAAACTGCAATGGGACTGGGCAAGAAGGAAGGGAGAACTGGAGTTGGGGAGCCCTCGTGATAAATTCCTAGGTAAGTTTCATCACTTCCAAACTTGCTTATGGTAACATTGGTTCTCCACCTGTGTATTGAAACCTCATAAATTATGTTCTTAAAATGTATTCTTAGTGTAACATTTTGGAGGGTATTAAATTCATAGCTTTTCCTCCCTGATAATGCCTAGTCCTGGTCAGCCCATCCTTACCGCCACTGAGTGAACCAATGGAAATAATTGCCTCTTTGCAAAAACAGAACCCTATGGAAAACAGCTTTGAATTTCAAAACAGAGTACTCCAAATCTCTTGAGACAACAGCTGGAAAGGAAACACTTGTGATTTTTGGAGGAGCTGATCTTTACTGAGGAGAAAAGAGGCTTCTAAAAGCCAAGCCCAGAACATGATAATCGTTTTCACAATGAATGAAAAAGTAATAGGACAAGGATTTCGATATAAGTAAAGGCCCTGAAATGCAAGAAAGAGAAAGCTCTTTGGGCGCTGAGAGGAAGAGCATGAGAGAAAATGAAAGGCAAAAAGTGTATGAGGTGTCCTCCCTTCCTTATGCCACACACTCAGGGTAAACCTAGAGAGCTGGGCAGGTGGAGAGCAGGAGACAGCCTAGGGGGAAGAGGGTGGGGAATAAAACACCCCAATAG